GGGCCAACCATCAACAGATCATCCTACCCTCGTAGTAATCTACAGTCGTTAACCGTTACTTGGTACGTAACTGCCTATTGACTAACGAGGGAGGAAAGTGATACCTCCGTACATATGGCAAGAAATACATTGCCAAGATGTGAAATACTATTAATCTCTACCGGCTTAACTGGATCCCCTGTTCATCAACAGGGTAGAGTGAGTACGGTGATCGATTGCATATTGTACCGCTGTGCTGTTAAATTTAATCAGCATAAAAAAGATTTAGATAGCTTTATCGACCAATATATATATGCGTAACGGGAGGCTAGAAGTAGTCACCCACACATTACCGATGTATCGTGCGTTCTCTCAGCTCTGTCGGGTGTACATACATGAATGCACGTACAACCTCAAGAAATACATGTAGGTACATACATGTATCATCAAAGCAGCTCACCCCCAATTTTTAGAGCTGAGCTGACGTGTCTATTTTTCTAAAGGACACGGCAGAACAGAAATTCATTTGAAAGCTGCTGTCCTCCTTCAATACGTTTCTAGAGCAGGTAACCCGTTGATGGTTGAATGGTTGAATCTCTTGGCTGCATAATTTTTACTTGATGTGTCTTTTCTGCCTCGTCAACCGTCTCTAAATAATCTAACACTGCCTTTGAACTAGGATGCTTTTTCAGGGTTTGAGACGCATCGATCCCGTTGAACTACATGTAGACAAGGCTGAACTTGGACCACCTGATTCAGAACGCCGCACCTTATTTAGACCGCATTGTCAAGGGCCGTTCCATTTGATTTCTGCGAAAGTCACACACGTCGAATTTACTGAGGGGAAAATTCTGGCGTATGATTGATAGATAACTCATAAGTAATGAAACTTTCCTGGGTGCGTAGCTTGTTAGATATGCCGTTGAAGGCAGAAAACCCCCTTTTTTTGCAAAGTGTACGTTGTCTGAGACTTGCATTAGTATCCTTGAGTGGTCTGCAGCGGCGGCTCACTGCCTACAAAACAGGACAGCTAGCGGAATTCCGGCGTCAATGATATACGAATTCTCTACGGATCCGAGCTTCCTATTGGAAATTTGTCCCGGTGTACGGTGACCTACTCTACCTTCTCGGGTTTGCAGAAATGGGGCATCATTCCCTATCTACTTTTGCATATTGATAGATCTCCTTAACGCGACCACGTATGAAATGATATGTGATGCATTTATTTCATAAACCTGTTCGATATTCGGCTAACAGGGATGGCACCAGCGAGTATGTTTATTGATCAAACAGACGCCTCTCAACGATGATGATATATGTCTTATTATTTCATCTCTCTAGATGACGACGATTCATTGACTCAGACATGAGAAGTATTCTTCCAAGTTTTCATCAGAGAGATTGCAGGGACATTGTTTGGCCAGCCTCTAGTCGCTGGTTTAGATGAAATTGCACAAAAGCCACAAGCGTTACGGTCAGTCATTGACCAACGTTTTAAAGCATCCACATAAAGATTTCCACACGACTTGTATCGTCATACACACGTGTACCGTATTTTGTTGCTGAAATCATAACGTTTCCTGAAAACTAAGGGAGTACACGGAAGGTCCCAGACAATGTCTCATACGACTAAATTAAGCATCAGTAAGAAACCTTTTCATATCATGCAGCGTGCCGTACGTTGTAAGATCATACTTCCTTGAGAAACATTATTGAAGGATTGTTTGAGTCCTCCTTCTCGAGATATGATTCGCGAGATGTGCGGGAAGCCACCTGCCCCAAGAGATTGGGCCTAGAAATCACATGATAGACTACAGACTAGTGAGCACAGACCACAATACTGCCAAAGCTAGGATCGTAAGATAGGTACATGTAGTTCTCTCATATGATTTGTGTCGGCCGTTCCTTTTTCAAATCTTCCTCTTGTAACCTTTAAAGATGTAATGAAGCTGCTAATCACAGGGGTGGGGGTGGGGGTGGGGTATCGTGGGTTTAGAGAGACTGCGCTCGAGCCCACAATTCTACCACCATATGACAAAAATCTAGCTTTACCATATGACAAAAATCATCTTACCAACCCATATTGCGATTGCGCAAGTTGCGCTTAGAGCTTTCGATTCGGTTAATAAGAATACCGAAACTCCGAGAATAAGGGGTAAATTATCGGGGTGTCTTTCAGTATACGCATTTTATAAAGATAGAAAGAGGATATAAATGCTCCCTTACGAGTGAGAGCCCATGATAATGTTCTCCATTGTTGTAGGCGCTTCCTCCTGGGGTGGGGGCTATCAGAACGTTATTTTTGTTGATAAGTGGGGTTTGAAGGCTACTTGACGTGACATCGACCTAACGTGTCTAGGCCCAGAAGAATCCTCGCTCGGACTATAAATACCCCCCACAGAAATCTCGTCATATTCGTGCACCAATAGAATCTGAGTTTTTATGCGTGACGCTACTTCTAGTTGCAAGTGAATGGTCGCCGGAAACCTAGATACACCAATCACTAGCATTCATTTTATGAGTGACCAGTAGCTTTCGTTAATCACCTCAAAGGGGATTTCTTTATGCATTTAACAGTGTGACAGCCAGTTTCGATCAGAATGCTACTTGTGAGCTGTAAAATCACTGCGGACAAACAATGGAAATCGCAGGCACGTACCATAGAGAACATTGGCCCGCGGAAATGAGAGTGATCGTAACTGAATACGGTTTGGTTTTCCTCGCTCTGGTTCCCGTAGTGCGAAATATCCTTACCAGAAGAAGAGAAAGAGCATGCATTTTCAGACGCAATTTCCCGCCGGTTTATCGTCGGTTCAAATACCTATAGGTCAAGAGGCTTTCGGAGGGTGAGTAGGGAGAAGTGCAAGAGTTAGCATTGACTGCAGGGCAGAAAGGCAGAAAGGGCAGAAAAACCTGTTAAAGCACGGAGGTGCATACCAACGGGAAGATGGCCCGTGAGCTGCTTGCAAAGATCCCATGGTCGTGGAACCACATCTAGATCGGAGTCTTATTGGCAATGTATCGGCACCTCCTGCCTCGCAAATATCAGGTTGCTCCCGTGCACACCTGTCTTTGTTTGATATCTCGTCGTTAGTTTTTCCCCCATTCAAGCACCATGACATTGAAGAGCATGGACCCTCCTCGCTACCGTTCCTCGTCGTCACTTCCTGAATGGAAATGGTTACAGACCCCACAGACAGCTGGCCAGATGGTGGCCTAAGCAAGTAACAACCAGCTAAGAGGTACGTACCCCCTCCTCCTACCATTCAATTTGCAGCTTCCCACTCCTCTCTCCTCTCTCTCTTAAGCTGGCCACCTCTTGTTATTCCAGTTGCTCTCTGAGTTTTTCGCCATGGCGATACATAAGCAGGGTCAGGAGAATTTGGTGAGTGCACCCAAATTCCTGGCAGACATAGAAACGTGAGCTTACATAACTCACTGTGGAAAAGAGAGTCATGTGATTTCTTCGCCTATGTTTGCTATCCTTGATATACTCGTAAGTTCATAGCGTTTCCGAACACGACCAATATTGCATGACATACAAAAAGGTGGATTTAGCGCTTTTTATATGGTATGCAATAGCAGTCGTGTTCGGAAACGTCATGAATTTACGAGTAGACGCAGCAGACCGCGTTCGGCTAAACGCCAGGCAGCTTTCTGCAAAGTTAGCTTTGATTTTGCCAATTCTGCGCGTATGCTGCTCGTTGCTCACCCAGGTTATTGAGTGGACCGGCGGTGTACGTACATGTACTTGGTCCACAACGAAAGCACCCCTTCTTTTTTCTCCCTTCCTTCGTTGTCAGCACACCGGAATCAACACAAACAAAAATACAAACAGAACATCAGGAAAAGAATGGAATAATTTTCAAATCCAAGAAACGGATGCAATTGAACTCCTAGATCTATGGGCAAACTGAGAGATCCAGTTTCTTTCGGCCGAAACAGATGATTTTGCATATCCTTCCCCCCAACTGAGACCGAGGTGATATCTGGAGGACGAGTGCATCGTGGGAGATACCTGCTGATGCGTTTGTTTGTTTCCAGATAATTATCTTTGTCGTCAGGAACATATCGTCTGGTTGGTGGATCCTGAAATGGTGGCATAGCTGATGAGAAAGAGCGTACTATTGGCCGGTTGGTTCGGATTGGTTGATTGCAACAGGTCTGTTTGGAACTAGCATACGACAATCCGCGTCGAAAGACAGCAGCAATTCCAACCTGCAACTTATTTTCAGCAAGCATTGAATTAAAGAATATGAACGAGAAAAACAAAATAAAGTTTGGTACATTCATCCGCCGGCTGGAAAAATTTGTAACGACCTGCGGGAGATTTCGGAAACATCTCTCGGAAACACCCTTCGGAAACATCCTTCGGAAACACCTTTGGGAAACATTTCTTCGAAACATCTCGGAAACACCCTAGGCCTTATAAGCCTTGGAAATATCGGCCATGGGAAACTGAACAAGAAGATATCACGACATCCATACCTTCCTGCTGAAATAAATATGGAAAGAAATATTAAATTGAATATGAATAAATGATTTGGAAAATAGTCATCTCGACAAACTCGGAATTCGAAATGGGTGGTGGAAGGATATCTCCCGAAGTGCAGCACCTTAAAGTTCGCGACAAAACCACTCGCTTGAAATAAAAAAAAAATTAAATCGAATGAATGACTGCACCCTACAAAACTCGCATGTCAATATGACTGTATGTCTATTGAATAGCTCCTCCAATTCATTGTATACCCCGTAACTCCAATTTCCCTCAAGCACCCGTATACTTGTATCCCTATGCTTATGTTAATTTTCACCAGGCTGATTTTCTTATCGCTGTCACTGATTTGAAGTTTCATGATGGGTGTAGGTCGAAGTGAGTCCTTTCTGTTTTGAAAGTCCCTTCTGGAACTGTACCTGTTATGGGTTGGGTTTGCGTCCGATCGAGATGTACCTAGAGAGGCAATGGTCAACTATAAGCTCTTCTCGTCTTTAGTGCTTGCTTTTGGGATATTGACAAAGACTTACAGTCCAAAATATGGTTTGAGGCTCTTGTTATCCACCTCCTGTCGAAATCGCGCGGCCATGACCCTAACTTCATTTATGGACATTCCAAATTTATCCTTGAATGGGATTTGAAGTAGACCTTCAATACAGTCCTTGAAGACCTCGCCATATTTCTCGCCAATCAGGCGATCACGCTCGACTGATGGTTGTGATTAAAAAAAAAAAGGAGTCAGTAAGTTACAGTGAAAAATAGTTGGATAAAATGTATCCGTGCGCATCAAACGTTGTCAGTCCCGATTGTTTCGGTCCATGGACGTCCTTATGCTTATTTCCACGCTAAGACACAGCAACTGCTCATAGTTTGTAACAGTAGCTGATGACGAAAGGATAAGACGGGTAACTAACCATTTGACCATCCATTTAAATGCAATTGAACCATTCTGCTTCCCAGCTCAACTAACCCCGCTTCCCTCATCATGGAATCCAGCTTCAAAGGAGCTCGCGGATCCTTGGTATCTTCGATGGAGCTGAAGTAATTCTTGCTGACCTGACGAAGGATGTGATTGTCGTCGATCATACCGTTGTCAGACTGGATCATGGGATAAATTTCAACGAGCTGTAACCACCCCCCTGGCTTCAGGATACTATGTTCGTCAGACATATTTATCATACAAAGCCTGTTCCACCAATCGTTCAATAAAGCTATTGAATCTCAGGTGGACTGATTGTGGGACTTGACCAAGCCTTTACTGGGGGCATCCCTAGAACTGCTTATAAACTTACCGAACACAGTCCTTAACATATGATGACCATCGATCCTTTTTGATACCACCCATAACCTCTCGGGATTGGATAAAGTCAAACTCGTTTGTTTGGAATGTGAAAGGTTGATTCAAATCATCGATCTTCATTTTACGGTAAGTAGACCTAGTCAGTCACTTTGAGGTTTTTTTGATTAGCTTCAGTTAACCAAAGATTACTTACTTGAAGCCACAAATTTGTAGGCGTTTCTTCTGGCATCATATGTGGGCTAATGTCAACACCGATAACCTAGCACTCGTTGTTAGAAAAGGCTAATTTTATCAACTACCTGGCTTGTTTAGCTGGGGTCGGACTTCACAATTCGGATATCTTTCAGCGGCCTCCACTGCCCATGCAGCAGAACCAAAACCACAGTCCAAAATTTTCTGAGGGTTGTTGACGGGTGGAAATATTAATCTATTGTCGAAAACGAGCTTGAATACGTTATGCACTCTATCAAGCCTTTCCCTCTCATCCTAGACAAATTTCAGTATGGAATTGACACAGATACAGCTAAACATTTGAAAGGTTATAACTGGAATACCTCATCGACGGGGGAGAAAGACGTCCCATTCTCCAGAGCCCATTGCTGGTACAGCCGTCCATTGATCTCGATCGTTGTTCTGTAAACAGGGTCAAGCGACCAAGTTTCAGACTCAGGGTTGCTTTGGTCGATATCTGAGCCACTACTACAACATCATGCACACAAATGAGAAAGGATAGAATAAGTAAATGGAAGGGGAGCTTTGCTATACCTCATTTTACTGTCGTTCTGGCCTGGGTTGGATTTGGATTCTACGAAACCGAAAATTGCTGGGGAACGGTGAATATATTTGCAAAATCCTGTTGAAGGTTGTGTTCTACTGGATTGGTGCTGCTACCGACTTGCTGGACGTGGTGGAAAAAGGGCACGACAACACCGCTAGTTAAAAGAGCACACGCACACACACAGAACAACACAACACGGGGCCATCAAAGGTATGAGAAAAGTCGGGGATTGGCACCCCCGTCCAGACTGCAGCAACAATCGTCTTATAGCCTTTCCTGCATTCTTGTGACCCAACCGTTCGGGCATGCATATCTTGGTTGGGTTGCCGCGATAACCCCGGTCTTAGTTTTATGGTGTCTGTTCTCACTATGGTACTACCCGTTACGGAGAGAACTTCAAACCGTGGAATTGGGAATTGATAATTCCAAAGACTTGAGCTAGCACTTGTTTCAAGGAATCTTTGTATGAAGAAGAACCGAGGACCCGTTTCCGCTTGTCCTGTCGTTAGCCTCACATTTTCATGCTTGCCTTACTCCGGGAAAAAACGGTGTCTGTGCGCAAGGGCGGACGAACCCCCCCCGCGTGGGAAAGTCAGTAAAGGTAAAGTATGCATTGGAGAGATCTAGAGGGAAGTCTGTGCCGACACTGAGGGTTACTGACTTGAGGCATGCTAATGGGAGGGGGAAGAGAGGCAGGCAGCCTTGCTTTTGGTCTTGACGTTTCTGAAACAACATGGAAAGAAAGAAAAAAAAAACACTTCTCTCGTTGAATATCGAGAAATCGACATAACTTCAATTCAATACATGTCTCCGCTGTAGAGGGTGTGGAGAACCCCTTTCGAATGGACCAAGCTGCTGGTTCAGAAACTCGCGTGGGTGGCCCCGATCCAAGACCGGGGTCTCGGGATGCCTCATTCCACCTTGACACCCCCATTGTCGTAACAGGTAGAAAGTCGCCCTGAGATCAGATGTTGCATAGTCATCTCCGCGGCTTCGCATGTCTCTCTTACTTACTCCACTTCTTTCAATGGCTTCCCGCCAATTTGGTAGCGAAGAATTCTGGGCTTTTCGATATCCTTTTTGAGTTGTGTGCGCACAGTCCTCTAAAACTAAGCATTCTCATCTTTTTAAAGCGTGTCGGAGAAATTTTTCGCACGAGGCCTAACCACAGGAATGTTCCACAGGTTCGGCGCCTTCGGGCATTGCCGTCACTCGGGATCTTAACGTCAGTATCCTTTTATTTATTTGATTTGGGAGTTTTATCTATTTTCCCACTACCCGTTGACTGGATTGATACTTGCTTGACCTGCAAAGTCTCATCTCGATTTTGAGCATAATACGACAACGAACATTAAAATTAAATAGAAAAGCTACTAAGAAGCAAGGACGGAGCATTGTCAATATTCGTCCATGTCTAGGATGTTAGATCTCCCATGTCTGAGCCTGAGCTTTCTCAAAGTGTTCGGCACCACGCTACACAAGTCTGTGAAACACGCTTTCGACACCGGGCACGTAATATATATTACGACACGTGCAGTGGTTTATGTATTTGAGACGGTTCGCTTCCCGGATAGGTAATGGCTCAAATTAGATACCTTTCATATGAGCAATATTTCCTGCAAGACCTCTAAATCTAGAGATCGATGAAAACAATTCCAGATGAGGCGAGATAATCAAACGATAAAAATGATAGCATTAATGATAATTAAATCCACCTTTAGTCCCGATGTGCACACATATATATGTCTTGGAGCAATTCTCTAGGCAGTTACTAAGTCTGTGTGACAAAAAACCGGTGCGCATTGTCTGATCCACCATTCATGTCGAAGCTAGCTGCTATTGAGTGCCCTAACACAACAGGCTCAGAATATCGGCTGCATACTTTTATGTTTTCAAAGGGAGGAATGTCGATGACTCGTACATACACGTTTTCTTCGGACAAAACATCCAAAAGCTTGGGGCAAGCCCAATTCCCTCACCCGTCTTGCAGGAACACACGACCTAATGGACGATACTTTCGTCATTGAGGCAGCGAGTGCAGGGGTCATATAATGCTCTAATCTAGCGAGCAGGCCGTGGCCTCAACCAGCCCAGCCCTTTTACACTATCTTCCCATACAGTAGTATATCTTCACCAATGAGATCCTGCCCCGATCTGCCGTTAGGGGGTCCATGTTTATATCGGGGTCCTATGTCAATATAGGCCCTATACAATAAAGTGGTCTTACCCAACTATCTTTGACATATGTAACCTAGGGTCCCGAGTCCGATCAACGAATGGGATTTGCAATTTGGCGTTCAATCATCTGAGGGTAGTAGGGTAGTAGGGTATGTGCCCCAGAGTCCGCTGTCGATTCTATGGAGTCTAGGCGGGCCAAATTGGTGCTGGGTGATCCTTGTGCGAGGGTATGAAAGAGTGATAATACCCGTTTTATTTAATTGGTTTTTCCTTTCTGCATGTCTGCCCCTGGATCCTATTTCTGCATTCTTTTCCTCAACCAGGAACTAACTTTTCTTTCTAGGCCCTCTTTGGCAACCTTATCTCTCGTCACAATATACCTATCTTACGAACCAGAATTTGAAGTTAAGAGGCCTATGGGGTTCTCTTCGCTGTCCGTGTGCCGGATTCTTGAAGACCACGCGGACCTGTCACGTGTCCCCTATAGATTGAATACATGTAACTTCTGTAGGTGACCACAAAGCCTTTGCATACAAAGATGGGGTCCATGCCTTGATCTATAGCCGGAAGGTAGTCGTTGGCTCTCGATTTTATCCACACACAGTTCAAACAAGCAGGGTCTTACTCAAGGGCATTGATCAATCTCACGTCGACTTTATTGGACTTGTGAGTTTTGTCACATTTTATTTGAGGTGCTTTTGGGTCTTGATTGTGAGAGGACCATTGACCACATGATACTTTCTAGGTCAGTATAGGGAGAGAAAGGGGCAGGTTGTGACCCAATGTCGCACGATTGATTACCGACAGGACCCATCCGTCTGCAAGCGTCACTTCCGTTCTTTTAGTGGGATATAGATCTGAATAGAGATATGATCTCTAGTTATAAATTCCGAATAAGATGGAGGACTTCCCTACGATATCCAATAATCCCTTCTTCAACTTAGAGTTACTACTAGGCACTTATCTGCATCTGAATAAAAAAAAGAGGGGAAGTTTGTAATTCATGTCAACCCGAGTTTTCCCTGAGGATTAGACTAGACATCTGTACGCCAAGTATGGGAGGCATTGAACCTTCTGCAGGTGGTTTCTGAAGAGTTTTTCTGCATATACCGATTGGGCGAGCTTTTATGAGAGATGCGTGCCGGGTCAAAGGTCTCTGGGGAAACCGCACGATGACGTGATCTAAAGGAATTGTTGCTGTTATTTAGCTTGGAAACACCTTGAAAATATCTGCAAGATGGATGTCATTGAATACAAACCCCTTGAGAGTGACCAAGCTGAAGTGAGATCGGGCTCCGAAAGATCTAGGCCTAGTAAATTGTTGGTGGTTTTTAAAATCAGAATGAAATGCAATATCCCTTAAACCTCAATTAGGAACAGAACAGAAGTCTTCTGGGTCAATAAATCCATGTATGTAACTGCTTTCAAAAAACAGAAGAACATGAGGAATTGTTATCGACATCAGCCACGTAACACCCTCATTTAAGATCAGGGGGGAAAGGTGGCAAATAATTCCATTTCACCTGTTGGAAAATCCCTGATAATTGGCTATGCAAATTTCGCATGCGTATTTTACCCCGTGCTACTGTTAAAACCGCTTAAACGCTGAGAAATTTGGTGTTACTCAAATGTTTATCTCTATGGGGGTGCTTAATGACTAACCTGTATTTAGAAGCTCGAAGAGACCATGGTCTAAGATCCCGCGATCACCGACGGGGGTCAAATGTCAACTCATCTACCGCTTTTTCAGCATATTGAGGCTAGATTCCGACATCACGTCTGCCGATTTATCTACCTAAACACAAGTCAGAGCAATTTATTACATTGCAGTCGACGGTGGGGCCACTCTCCGGTTCGCCATGTATAAAGGTGGCGGACCACTCGATTCTGGCTCCTCTCAAGTAGTGGGATTTGAATCATCGGAAAATCTGAAACACCTTAACGTAAAAGCAGGGTCGATTGACCAGATACCCAACCTAATAAAATGTGCTGAGTTACATTTGAGGTTAGCTTCCTGTCTGTTTTTTTGGTATTAGGCCGGTGCTCCTCGAATTTACTACTCCAGGTCATGCAGCGCGCGCCAAACCGCCTTTACATCGACTTTCCCCCAAACGGTTACAAATTAAGCTTAGTTCCATTCACATAACCTTCTAGACGATTTGCATTGGAGCATCTCTGCACGATTTATGCCAACCTCGCGGTAGTTCAACTTCGATATGCTTGTTGCCGGAAACCGTGTTATATTTTGTAAATATAGAATAGATATGACAACGTGAGAGACTCAGGAATACTGATTATTATAGCTATAGTTATCGCAGGGCCGAGGCAAATTACGCGCATATATTCCTTTAAGATTTTCTCATACTTTTCGATCAGTTCCCATATTCTCGACACTCCTCTCATCTCCAATTCGGCAGACACTCAAAATCAAAAGTTTACAGAAAAAAATACATAATGACCAGCTTGAAGGGAAATTCGAAATCCCAACATACCCCCTCACCTGCGATTATGGCATCATGGTATTTTGTATAGCTTTGCATTTACATCTCAATTCGTTGATTGACTCACTTTAAGCCGTAGATTCATGAACCCCGCTTGACTCAGTAAACACGGCGTTTTTTTAAGCCTGGTGCCTACGCTTTTGAAGTCCACATAATGTTTCAAATGCAACTCGTTAACTACGTTTCACAAATCCTGTTTCCATAATCAATATGGCGCTTTTTTCCAACTCAAGTGGCTTCAAGCAAGGCAGACTTACCAGGGCCTGGTCTGGCCTGGTCTGGCCTGGCGTGGTGGTGGTGGTGGTGGGGTGAAGTTGATTGAAGCTTTGGCATCGTCTGAGACCAAGTACCCGGTAACAGGTAATGTTGATGTCTGATCTACGCATGACCGGATCGGACCATCGATTGCTCATCGGATTTTAACGAATTGGGAATCGGCGCCCGAGCACCAACTTTGTAGGTGCCAGCATGTTGCAGCCGGTGCAATAGAGCCGGGGTAGAGAGACGGGCCCCCGGGACGTGTTGGAGTGATTATTCTGCGGTTTACCTTCGGGATAACAGGGGATGATGCTGCTGCTATCTGTTCCAGAAAGAAGGTCAAAGCAAAGCCGGAGCTTGAAGCACAACGGATGCTCTTGATAAAGTACTCATTTTGCTAAAACTTGAACTTCTTTATAGGCATAACCAGAATAACATCGCACAGTAGGAAATTTTGGAACAATCAGAAACCCAATCAATGATTTTATCGATTTTGTGGGTGGTATCAGTCCTCAGGAATCAAAAGGCGATCTGTTTACCGGCAGATCTGCAACAAATTTCTCCAGCCGATCGGATACGACAGTTTGGTATTTGCTGTTACCAGCCGCTTGGGTCGCCATCTCCTAGTATCCGCATCGACCCGGCAAATTGCCCTTAAAGCGCTGGATCACCGGTGCTACCACCATATTAGAGTAGGTTCCTTTCAATTGAAGAGAAAATAAGTGAATAACAATTCCGACAGAAGTTGGTTTATGTTGACTTCGCTGTTCGGGCTGGTAGGGGTTTCCGGGACTTTCCCCTATTTTCGACAGGCTCTCTAGATGCGGCTTGCGGGAAGAGAAACACGCATATATACCCAGCTCCCAATGCCTTTTGCTCATCTTTTATGTGGGGTGACTGAGACACGGGCCTGAATACTTCTTGTGTCTAGTTTACATCGATCATTGGTTGTTTGTAACGTGTTTATAGGATGGCGACTATTTTGGAAGCGAGGACGTCTACTTGGAGCTGCCCTCCTACCCAATGACAGGTGGTTGAACTGTAGCGCCCAAACCGTCGGAAATCGTTCCCCAAGAATACAATCCCGAACCGTCTGGCTGGGTAGGCGTATCAAAATTGTTTCAGTCCCCCCTTAACAATCAACTGTTGCGCCAACACCCCTGGTTGTATGGAGTTGTTTAGCCTTGTACCTACAATCATGCATCACTCACAACCACCAGGCCCCACCAGCTAAAGGTGTTCCCCCACTCAGGACAGCCTCCATGAGAGGAGAGAACCAGCTCGGGACGGCCCGCATTGTGGGGGCTCGCAGATAAAATTAAAAGGATAGGGCTACCTATTCGTAATTCGAGTAGGTACATAGTCCACCGGGAAAATCCGTGGGAAATGTCAGCTCGGTGCTTTTTGTGGACATTCGGGTACACCCTAAATCTGCTTAACGGACATGAAGGCATCGCTGTGGATATAATTTCTAGGTAGTATGCTGATTTGGCCATAAGAAAACGGTTGAAGCTCTTTGACCACACATTTCGGCCTCAGCACATGTACCAAGGAACAGGCCATTGAATTCTGCATGATTGCATCGCCTTAAATTATCTCCAAGGGCCTAGTACATCGGCGGCCAATATAGCTAGTCGCACAAATACAATTCATTTCATTGATGCACGGAAAGTTCTTGGCTTCTAGGCTCTAGCTCTAAGCCTCGGAGGAGTAGGATTAGCGGAGGTGATGGTTTCACACACGCGTTGCAACTGGTGGTTGCCTAGACACTTATCCTGGCCCCCCCTCAACCGCTCTGTCGGGAATTATGACCCATGAACTCATGAAGTATCACTCGCAAGATATAGTACGACCTCACTGGGAGCACTGGTCCAAGCATTCGAAGCGCGATACCTGTGCTATTTTCGGGTCTCTCATTGTCATGAAACGATGCTAACATTGACTATCACGGCTCTGTAAGGTTGCGTTCTTACTCGCAGCAGGTAACAAGTACCCGAAAATGCACGTCCTAATCTGCAATTTCATTGGAGTAGAAGACAAAAATACACCAAAAGCTTGCAGCCGCATATTCGGGTACTTCATGCCTGTCGCGAGTACTTCCCTCGCATTGTGAGGCTGATATACTAGTAATAGCCGATACCTGCATACGTACTCTACTACTAATTTCATGACGTTTCCGAACACGACTGCTATTGCATGCCATACAAAAAAGCGCCAAATCCACCTTTTTGTATGTCATGCAATATTGGTCGTGTTCGGAAACGCTATGAATAGAGCGGTATGTACATGGCCTAAACAAAGAAGAAAGTACTAGCAGAATTTCACAATTAATAGCTCACTTAAAAAAGGGCTCGTGTTGGCACTGCCCTTCATTATACAAGTGTAGTGCGATCTCCAGCCGCAAATATTCTAAAGTTGACCACCTATGTAGATTCGTAGTTTCGCTAAAGCCTAAGAGAGTGAAATAATACAATCTACGTAGTCAGTTGTCTATGATATATATCAATTCTGTCTTCTCAATAAAGGGCTCCTAATATTGATATATAGCTTATAAAAAAAAAATTCGATATCAAACCTCTTCACTTCCGGGTCGGGAGCAGTGAATTCTTTGTGGTGTATATGCAGACTATTCAACCAATCAGAAGCGTTCCTGACCACGCCAATGAAGACTATACAGTTTAGATATCCCGTCGAAGGTCTAGCCGGGGGGAAGCAGTAGCATAAGAACATGTGCTGCTAAGACTTGGATGGAATACATTTACTCGCAAGCTTCCTTCTCTTTAAACCAAACTACGCTAGAAATCCAGTGTGTAGCTTTATCTGCACGCTCTCCCTGTTGTTTCCAGTATGTTGTTTACTTGACATCAAGAAACTAATGTAGTAATAATCTCTAACTAGAACCAGATAACTAATTCTCAATACAATCAGTGCCTGGAAAGGGGATGCACATCATCATATCATGGCAATCCTGCCTGTGTCGGAGTGATATTTTTTGATCTTGAGTAATACTTGTCCGTTACTAAAGACTCTGAAGCTCACGGTCGGATATTCGGTTATCTGCATTACAATCTTGGGATATCCGAGAAGCTTCCCTATAAAAATTGTTTGATTGGTGCGGGTGAACTTGCCCTTTAGGGACTAGCCTTGGCTCTATAGAGCTAAATACTATGAGCGTCTAGTACTTATTAGTAGGGAATTCCAATCCAGCAAGTCCAGTTTCGAATTCCGGATCGGTATATCATAGCCTTTTTCTTCAGGGTATGCGTCGTCTACACATCCATGGACTGCCATGGGATGGTGTGATATCGGTCATTGACGGTAGGGGAACAAGGGTGATGGTCCTGAGATAAATCTCTAGAGTACATTCCTCTCTACATCTGCAATATCGGAATTAACTAAATACAAGTATCAGGGTTCTCCGCCCACGACAGCCGGGGCATCGAATTCGACTTTAGTTGTTCGATCGAGTAGCTGAATGATTCGGTTTTTGATTTGGGTAAGTAATTGAGCCCTATTTTCTATTTAGCATAATAGGACTGTACATGCATGTATTGGGTTAAAACCACATGGCATCTTAACGATTTTCGTATTAAAATTAAACCGCGCGATTACCGCATCATCAGATCTCACTCAGCTCTAGGTACGTGGATTATCGGGGGGATTGGGACACCGTAAGATATAACTTATGTACGTCATGCATGGAAAGCTTGAGTACGTTGAAGAATTATTTGCCCGAGTTTGCGACCCTGTCGGAAGCAAAAAATAGATTTGGGGAGAAGTACAAATATTTTTACTATTGTGCCAACTTAATTATTAGGAAAAAGATTGGTTGACAACCCTCTTATTTTGTTGTTGACACCATGCGCTAATAGCTCAGTTGGGAGAGCGTCAGACTGAAGTTAACACTCAGTCAAATAATCTGAAGGTCACCCGTTCGATCCGGGTTTGGCGCATATATTCAATATCTTTTTACCGCCTGTTCCCGCACCTCCATGCACCTATAAAGATCTAGGCTAGAGCATGCCGCTCAGGAGGTATCATGGGTTACACGGTTGCGAAATGGGGTCGCCGGAATATTACCACGGGTGGTTGAAATTTGAGCATGCTCTACGAACACGTTTTACAAGCGGAGATTGTGATGTTCCTGATTATTGTTATCAATTTTTAAGGGCGGTATATCTCGGTGATTGATTTTATTTGCAAGCTGAAGTGCGTGGGGATAATAAATATCGAGTGATCATACATGATTGATATACCCGATCAAGCGCAAAGTAGAGTTAGCGGCCAATTTTAGTCAAGAAGAATAAATTAATATTCGCATGATATTCCTTATTCCACGCATGCACAAAAAGCTATGCGTTCAGAAGTCGCGATTGCATCAGATGTTACAGCGCGAAATGCTTCGCATGGTCTCTGCCTGTATTATCCTGCACTGTTCCTATCAGACAGATGCCAATTCATACATAACCTACCCCCATGCGTAAGTCTCACTACGAACCCGTCTCTCAACTCGCACAGGCTTCAAAATCCGGTTGTCTGGATCGGTTGACTCTTGTGAGCTCACTAGAAGAGGGAATCGGTCATGATGTCAACAATCCGCCTTGCCAACTGCATACATAGTCTTCTCAACTCCTGCGAATCCCTAAGCTGGCTCCCACGATCCCTCACCAAGATCGGTTGCGATAGTCGCTCGGTTATATGTGGCTCTACTCTACATCCGGAATCTACGCCAAGGCATTGCCTTCCTGCAACTAGTAGATGTCGGAGATTGACAACCCCCCTAGCTACTACCTATTGCACTCTCGGGAAGCTTTGGATCCGTGCAAAAAAAGGTGAAACATCGAGGAGGGTGGGGGGACGAAGGTCTCGTGGTACTTCTTCTAATCAGGCGTGGTCTAGGCTAGGCCTCGTAGGCTAAGGTCTGGGTTGTAAGGGTGGGCCCGAGTGATAGTCGTGATTAAAGGGTGTCAAGCACTGGAGAAGAGCCATTTTTAGGTGCTGGTTTCTGGCAATGATCGAAGTGGTAAATACGGTGAATACAGGCGGGTTTGTGCTTGGACTAATATGTCAAGAGCGTAATAGCATGAACTGCGGGAGTATTGCGCCTCGATGGTTCGGGGGCCTTGGTGCTGTACGGGGTTCGGCCTTATGACGACGACATCCTGTGATAATTCTACTCCTGGGGTAGATAATTGCCGATGCCTATATATTTTTATTAACATAAAGCGATTAATTATGCAGTAGAGAAAATGTGGCTAGTATTAGGCTTGACTTTTCTGTCGTTATTGCATTAACAATCGATTAGCTTAGGTTATATGCATTAAAAAAGGATATTTAGTACTGATATTTAGTAAAAATACCTCTTATTTCCGAGAGAGATAATAGAAATAACTTTGTAACTTTCTAATATCCGTTCATGAGAGTTTACTACGAGGCGCCACGACTCATAGTGGGTCTGAGTGAGTGAAAAAAGAAAGCCAGTACGGGATATGTATTCGAATGTTCCCACCGCATCCAGCAGAGAGGTAATTTTTGCCCAGTATCAATCTACAAAAAGGTAATTATGCCAAGAATTTGCTTCTTGTATTCAAATCAACAGAATCTGGCGCGGCGTGTTCGGTCATAGAACGATGAAATTTGGGCATCTCGTCCACTCAGTCATACTACAGTGAGTGACCATCTGGGAATCCTGGGTACCGAACTCACACATTCTTCTCATTTTGCTTCTTCTCAAAAGAAAACTTGTTTGGTTGAAGACTTGCCCCGCTTGTGTTGGTCGAAGCAACTGTTGGTGTTGCTGCCTCCGCGCCTTTTGGCTGATTCCTTCAAGTCCTTCCATCCTTGAGAATTTATCGTCGTATCGTTAGAAACAGATAAAAACTCACTGAAAATTTATCCAGAAGGAGATAAGTATTACAAGAACCTTATCAAGTTATCTGAATGAAGACACTCTTCGAATACTTATTTAAGCATTATAAAGGCATTGAAACATGCTTATCGCTAACTTATTTGAGTCATACATACTTATGTATACGTAGAAAACGTCTTTATAACATCCCCTTCCGGATAAGGGTTTATAAGCCTTGGATGAGGATTGCACTTTTGATATCTCCACCATAATAAGTTCCTCTCGGAAATAGTACGAAAGTTGAGTGGTTGGGGCTGTTGTAGTTGTAGACCGCAAGAGTCGGGAGTTCTTCGTCAAATCAATAAGTATTGTCTTTGAGCTTTAACCACCGTGTTCGTTCATAGAATGTTGAAAACTGGGCATCCCGTCCGCTCTGCCATACATAACCAACATATCGCCTAGTCAGTACTGCGGTGGGTGACCACGTGGGAATCCTGGGTAACGAACTCGTATCTTTTACCTTTTCTTTTGTAAGGCCGATGTACTAGTCCGGGATCGAAACATCATAGGCCCAGCTAGCCCACTCTAGCCCAAGGTAGGCTCAGTTAGGCCTGGTCCATGCAGACATGTCCTTGGAAAGGCGTTCCCAACCCAGAATATCTAGTGTTGGCAAAGTCTGTCGAATGCGAAGGCCGAGTAGGATTAAGTATTTTACGTACGGCCCGGCCCAGCCCAAATATATTCTCGCATGTCCTACCCGGACAAACAAATTCGGGCCTAAGTCCATTCGAGGCCCTGGATCTTTACTTAACATTCATCGTGAGAATAGGATAGGAGGCCGAACATCACATCCAGAGGCTGCCGGGCACTCCCGATTTATTCTGTAAATTGGTTCCCTTTTAAGATTTAGCGACTATGATAATGAACAATCATCCATACTAGCGAATATGTATTTCAAGCGTTGCATTCAGGCGTTGTGGCCAGCCTGGGTCGTTGTCGGGCATTGACTTGTATGATCGATACATATACTTGTATCGTGCCTGCGATAAGTAGTGATCACTGTCTTTCTGAATTTTTAGAGTGGGCGCGTAATTTATTGATCGAAGGTCTAGATCGGATCTACCAATCGCCGCTGCCAAATCGCGAGACAGAATATTGAAACGATCCGAGTTGCGAGTATATATAATGGCTGAGCAAGAATTGATGGTACTACCTGCACTAGGTACATATGTACCCTATGGGAAATAATTGCGATGGGAACGGAAGTAGCCGAGTGATAATTGGTGCAGGAAATCCTTCTACTTTACTGTCACAACGGCTAGGATGGATAAGGGTTGCTAGTAGGTTTAGAGTTCCAAAAAGAAATCTTTTAAACATGTTTGACTAAAACTAGGCCATCGATACTGATTTATATTATGACGCCCAACAGTAGGATATTTGTTCAGTTCACTGCTCATTCGGAGCGCCGGTCAGAAGTAGACGCATACGAGGGGGTAAGGAGATTTATAATATTATGACTCCTATCCTGGTATTTATTCGGATTCCTATTCTGACTATTGCTAGGACTCTTTCTCAGATATCTATTTTGGCGTCAATTTTCTAAACAGACATGAGGACACATCTAGACCGGCGGACAGACAGGCAGGCATATTCTGACCTCTATTCTGGCACCTACTAGCACGTCAATCCACTACGGGACTACCGTAGTATTTATTGTTTGTCTATATGAGTAGAACTATGTACACACCTATTGATTTGCTTTGGATATACATATCCATCGATATGTTTCCTGAAGAAATATGTACTTACATTTATGGCCCGTCGGAAGCTTATAAAACCCTTTGCAAAAACAGAGTTTTATGATAAGTCCGTTCGTATACGTAACTCCCCCATAAGTGTGATATAAGTGTGGTGTAAGTGTGATATAAGGGTAAAATAAGGATGAAATGAGGATGAATTCGAAATAATGATGAAATAAGACTAGAAAAAGGATTTATACTTCTAAAGGGTCCTTATAAAATCCTGTTCTGGCTAAGAGTTTGGTGTGGTTTAAGTCTTCAGTACTTCGTCAACGATTTCTGTTTACAGGAAAAGCACCAAACCCTACAAACGGTGTGGAGTGGAATGTTTTCGCAAGCATCATGGAATAGCACTCGAAATCTTGTTCACCACGTAGCACTCGTTTCATGGCAAAAAAATAAATTCTTTTAGCGGAAGAACCTGACGTGTTCGTTCATAGAATCATGAAAATTGGGCATCCCGTCCGCTCTGCCATACACAAACATGATATCGCTTAGTCAGTACTGCAGTGGGTGACCATGTGGGAATCCTAGGTAACGAACTCAAATAATTTTTTTTTACTCGCTGCCATTAATCTGCTGGTGCGTACACATCAATACAACGCTTTCGTAACCCTAACTGACCCTAGTTAAGCCTAACGGTGTCCAAGATGGACCGATAAATATCAAGAGATAATATGCTCCTATTCGGAAAAGGTACTTCGAGTTCTTTTGCACCACACAACTATTGGCGGTTTTTTGCTTGAACGCCCCGTAAAGTTCGCTGACGTGAGTTGCCCACAGTTCAGAGAGAGTTGTAATCGATCGGTTCAAGTGGTTGCAGCGTTTCTCACAGAAGGAGAGACACAAATCAAGTATACAGCCACTCTGCAAAGGTGTTCGTGATTTAGTTTTAATGTCAGTGCGCAGTGTGGCACACCCGTAATATTGATGCTGTTAATTTTGAGATTCAAAATAACGAAAAATATATAATATAGTTCGTGACTATATACTTTTTCTTCAATGATTCGGGCGCCATTGGTCACTGGGAAAGTCTTCTCTTGGGGTTTTTTTTTGATGGTCCGCCACGGTTACATACTTATGGAGAAATGTCTCACGAACACTTTTGTAGCGTGGCTGTACATACGTGCATGGAGAAACACATACTGCCTCATCTACGGATATGAAGTATTAGAATGTCTTCCATGCCAATACCCCAGAAAGGAGCTGTGCCACTGGCATAGACTTACATGATAGGCTATTATTATAGTACTTTGACTACGGCTCACGAGTTTACAGGCATCGAAATCCTTAGTCAATGACAGAAGACCCGGAGGTGGGTGCTCGTCATGTGCTATTAAACCCTTGAAAGGCGACAAAGAAGTAGGCTAGGTTCAATGGAAAAAGTCGCCTGAGGTTTGTGTCGGTGGACTCGGCCAAAGCGGTGCTTGTTGGACAATCATGATTTTTGTAAAAACTAAAACCAGTAAAGTGATCATTCTCAGCGTGTTCGGTCGTAGAATATTGAAATCTGGGCATCCCGTCCGCTCTACCATACATAAACAATATATCGCCTAGTTAGTCCGGCAGTGGGTGACCATGTGGGAATCCTGGGTACCGAACTCAAATTTTTTGTTTGGGAGTCTTTTAGCTGCAAGAGTTGGACAGAAGTCGAGCACTTCGACAAAAAATCCTGCACATCTTATTGGTTGAACGACTGCAAGTCTCTTCCTAAAACAGCGAGACTTTCTGTCCAACCTGCTTGACTTTCTGTTCAACTCGCGCAGCTAAAAGACTCTAATCAAGCTACCTTACCGTCGAAACGGGTATTATTTTAAGTCTTATTTTAGGCTTAAATAAGCATGATATTTGCCTTTTTTGACGATTTTCTCTTATTTCTTTTTAAGGTCCTTATTAGACTATGGTTTTGATTATCTTAAAATATTTTAAGGCTTAACGGGCTTGATCAGTCTTATTTAAGGTATTTTGAAAAATAAGGCTGAATAATGTTTATTCGTGAGATCAGCATGATAGCCTGATAGGTATACTTTTACACTTATTCGCCATAGTGAATTTCGGAAATGAAGTTTCTATTAATACTGAATTTAATGTGTACATTGATTTAAGACAATCTATCTATATCCCCGCCTACACATCTCCCTACCTGCCTACCTGTCTACCTGCCTATTGACCTAGTTCGCTCAATTGGGTGCTCGATTAGGTGCTCGACTAGGTACTCGATTAGGTACTCGATTAGCTGCTCTATTTGATGCTCGATTTGCTGCTCTATTTGATGCTCGATTTGGTGCTTGGTTCGGTGCTGCTGCTGCTGCTAGATTCGCTGATTAGCCTATGTTTTTGATGATTAGGAGATTTGGGGGGGGGGGGGGGGTGGTGGTGGTGCTAGGAGAGTAGAGGGGACGGAGGTGATAGAGAGGTAGAGGGGACGGAGGTGACAGAGAGGTAGAGGAGAGGGTATTAAAGAACAGATGGAAGAACACGGTTTAATATTTGCTAAGTGCCTAACCCTAACACAGCCTTAGCACTCGTAAATGTCTATAAACCTGATGAATTTCCATAATGCTTATTTATCTGGTAATCCTAATACTAGTAAAGGTTTTAAAAGAGCCTTATTTGGTGGTAATATTAAGCAAATATCATGCTTTTGCCCAAAACACCCTTATTTTTTGCTTTTTTGAGATATATGTCTTATTTAAGGCTTTTCTACATCTTAGAGCTCAAAATCAGCCTTATTATTTTACCCGTTTCGACGGTAAGGTACTTGCTGGTGATTACTTTATCGCCCGATCAACCACAGGAGGTTAAGTCTTACCTAGACCATATAAGATTCTTAGACAAATCATAGATTTATAAGGGTCTCTTCCGAATGTCATCCTTTTTAAGGGGATTTCGGTTTGAGTCTTACTTGATCCTTAAAACATCCTTAGATTACACTTATCGTGGGTTTATATGATGAATAAGCCTTTTATAACCCTGTAATTTAGCTAAGGTTTTTGTAAGGTTTATATAAGGCTTATATATATATATATAAAAAAGCCATGTCGGTGTTAAAGCATTGATCCATAATGCGACAGACACCATTGAAAGTTTCAAAACCGTTGACACTGACGTGTTCGTTCATAGAATGTTGAAAACTGGGCATCCCGTCCGCTCTGCCATACATAACCAACATATCGCCTAGTCAGTACTGCGGTGGGTGACCACGTGGGAATCCTGGGTAACGAACTCATCATTCGCTTTTTGTTTTTGCTAATGATTGGTTCTGACCTCTTAAACCTACGTCCGGTTCCTTGGAAACGCGTGGAGAAGGTCGAAAGCTTATAGGATCAGGTGTGTTTTGACACCTAAATACACTCGCATGTCAGTCTAGGAGCAACTTTACGTGCTGGTGAGAAAAACACATAAACCTGTTATCAATCACCCTTAATCCTAGCTTTAGATTGTCCCACCCGAATTATTGGAATATATTGAGTTTAGCAGGGCAGAGTTTCTCTCTCTCATCGTACTGCATATAGTGAGGTATTTATTGCCGGGAGTGTGTGATCTTGGAGGTAGTGGAATCTGGGGGGGTCGTGGGTACGTGGGCTGGGTTGTGATTGAGTGACCCCTCCGGATATAGCCGTGGTGTATTGTTACGTATTTACGTAGAACATGGAGAATCCTGAGAGTGTTTTTTTGGGGAGGCGGAGTACTAATCTGGTTGGCGCTGTCAATTCTGGAGTTTTACGGTTTTGGGGGGGGGGGGGAGGGGGAGGGCCTCTGGGGTATAAGAATAGAAATTATTTCGTCATTTTCTACTAATTGACCGTAGGTTTTTTTGGTTGAAAACTTTAACTTTACGCTAGTGAAACCTTATTTCTGATCCTCCAGCTGTAAAGATGCCTCTCCTCCCACCTCTTCTCTCCAAAACCTCGCCATCATCCTCATCATTCTCATCCTCATCAACACCATCACTACCACCATCATCACCAGTAACAGGTATGTAGGTCAGATCTATCGTGCCAATTGGTATAGCCACCACTAATAGCAGCAGCAGCAGCAGTGGTAGCAGCAGATTATACGAGATAAATAACGACGGACAGAGATATATATATATACCGTATCCGTAGTAAATAATATAATTTAGAAGTAAAATAATAAATTAAAAAAAAAAAAGGTCATTTAGCTCTAAATGACTAGTCATTTATTAACGGTGGTCATATAAATGACGATTTTAAAAGACTCGGTCATTTAGTCACTATATGACTTCGTCACCTTTATACAGTAAAGGACTTGGTCACTTATCTTATGCTCCTAGAGGGGAGAGGCGAAACAAGAGTTAGTATCATGGGTGGGCGGGCGTTCATCGAGCTAGGCTTGGATAAAACCGAAAAAATAGACACTTCCTGTAGGGCCGGTAGTATATATACCCCCCCCTCCACCCCTTTTTTTTTTATGTGAATACATCTATGTATATAGCAGAACAGAAAAGCTTTGAAAGAAAGGTTGCCCTTAAGGTTACTTAAGTACCACGTGCGTTTAATAGCTATAGATTTTGTCTACTAGAGGTTAACAGACGGAGAAGACAGAGCTGGTATAAGGGCTGGAATTATTCGATAGTAGGTATCTCAGTTTACTAGCTGTTGACATGAAGCATGGGCAGTATATGATTCCTTTCCCCCCCCCCCCCCCCTCGGCGCGTACTGCTTGCCCGGTTTGGGTGGGGGGGTTTGTAAAACTCATGGAGGCCATAAGTATCTAATTGAAAAAAAAAAAAAAAAAATTGAGATTTTTTTAAAGAGAGTTCTGGCTGAAGTCTGAATGTACGATATTTTGAAGTACAATATACAATGTAGTTTCTATGCCATAATTATGTTAATTCTTTTTTCAGATTACACTAAACTCCTTTTGTGTCTTACGCAGTCCCGTCAGTCCATCAGTCGACTGACTGTTTGGACGGACTGCCAAGTCTTTTCATGCAGTCCACATGCAGTCCGGTCTGTCAGTCCTTGGACTGACTTGGCATTTTGGACGGTTGGCGGTATAATAATAATAATAATAATTACAATGACAGTGACAATGGAACTTGTCCGTACCTGGTGGTAGGTAGGTTTGCATGATTGGGGCGTAGTTATTGGCGTGCCCGTGATTGGATGATTTGACCTTGTGACGGAAGTGGTAGCTGGGGTGTTGGAATAGTCTTAGACAGGAGTCGTAGTAGATCGGAACGATGCTAGGTGGCCGTAAATGCTAATGAACTATAGAAGCGCTTTATGTAGAACCGTATGAAACGACGCTAGGACTCGGGAAAGTGAAATACTCGCAGAATGGGGCTTTATTAACTATTTTAACTACTTGGATACCTGCCCCACAACCTCCTCTTCCTCCTCCTCCTCTTCCCCCCCTTCTTCCCCCTCCTCCCCCTCGCTCCCCTCCCCCTCCTCCCGCACCCCCCTCCTCGCCACCGCCGGCACCACCCCCCCCCGTTCCACAAACCCCCTCCACGCCCTATCCTCCTCCGCCCTCCACCTCTTCCATTCCTCCCCCCCGACCGCCACCCCATCAGCACACCACGCCGCAACACACCCCCTCCACCCCCACAGCACCCTCATCTCCGCCCACGGCGGCCCCACCATCCACCCCTCCAGCCGCTCCCACACCTTCCCTCTTGCCTCCACCCCCTCACCCACCAACACCAGCACCTCCAGCAGCCCCGGCACAAACTCCAGCACACTGGGCCTCACCAGCGCCCCCTCCCCACCACCATCAATCCCACCGCCACCGCCACCGCCACCGCCACCACCACCACCCCCTTCCTCGCCGCCGCTCAGCGCCGAGTGGAACGCGTGCGTCCCCTTGTTGTACGGATACCCCAGCGCCAGCCGCGTCACGAGCTCCACGGCCTTCTGCGGCTCCCCGCGCCGTATCAGCAACTCGACGCCGAGGCGCCAGAAGGCGCGGATGTCGGTGCTGGGCGTGCGGAGCAGGAGGGCGTAGGCGCGCGAGGCGCGCGGGAGGTCGTTGGTGGAGAGGGCGTGGTGGAGGAGGGTGGTGAGGGTTGCGAGGTGGCGCTGGCGCAGGGTGGAGGGGGGCAGGGGGGCGGAGGGGAGCGAGTTTGTGTGCAGGTGTGTTAGGGTGGTGGTTTGGGGGCGGTGGCCGGAGTGGAGGGGGTGGCGGGCGGTGTGGGTGGAGGGGGTGCGGATGGAGGAGGAGGAGGGGGAGGGGGAGCGGGAAAGGGGGGGGCGCCGCTTGCGGGGGAGGGGGGGGAAGATGGGGGGGGTGTGGAAGGAGGTTTGCGGGCGGTGGGGCTGCATGGTTGCGGGTTGGGGGTGAGTCGTGCGTTGTGTGTAGATAAGGTTGGCGCGGTGATCAGACGCCAGAGCGCCGCTGGTGGTCGTGAAGAGTGACGCGGCGGGCGAGACTCGTAGAAAGCGTAGATCGTCAGGGGGACTTTGTAGGTGCTGTGGATCCAAGAATCAACGCGGCGGATTAAACGTGTAGATCCGTGCGCTGCGTAGATGCGATTGAGTGCTGCGCTGGGTGAGAAGCTGTGATTGCCTTAGTTTGTTGCGGGTGGACTGATGGGTGATGGATGCGTTATCTAATCAGATCACGCAATCCTCCGCGTGGGGTGCATAAAACTCATCTTATCTTGACATCCGCAATCTGCAATCTGCAATCTGCAATCTGCAATCATTGGCAGCTGCAGACTGCAGTCACTCACTTCCTGCACCGTGATCATTGACGGGGCTGGGTGACGTGAGTGCGTGCGTGTGTGTGCTTATCGGGGGCGCATGTGATTCAGAACACACACAACCTCGTCTTCTTCTTCTTCTTCGTCTTCCCTTCTCTCTCCTCCCTCTGCTTCTTCGTCTTCCCTTCTCTCTCCCCCTCTGCTTCTTCTCCTCCTCTCCCCCACCACCAATTCCTCGCAATGGCAGCCCTCACGGCCGCCGCATCCCGCGTCAAGGTCACTGCCGCCGTGAGCGTCTCCCGCGCCGCCGTACGTGCCCTCTCCTCTATCCCCATATCTCTCTCTCTACCTGCAGACTAACAAACCCACAGGCCTCCGCAGCCCAGCACCTCAGCACCACCGCCACCGCCGCCGACCACCGCCCCAACAACCCCCCGTACTGTAGCAATACCGCAGACAAAGTTCGTCCCCCCGCCCCCACCTACCACCGCACCATGCAGCCCAACCCATACCAGACCAACCCTCCTGACGCCCCCCCCCCCCCCCGCACTAGGAGCTCTACCTCTCCGTCCTCACCTCAACCTCCACCAAGCGCGAAGCCCGCTCCTACCTAAAGCGCTTCACCCCCGCGCCCGCCATCCTGAAATACCTCAAAGAGTCCTCATTCACGCAGCCCGGCGCCCCCACCGCCGCCCTGCCGCCGCCACCCACCGCCGACCTCCACATCGGCATCGTGAAGATCCGCGACGCGGCAACAATCGACACACCCACGCTGCGCGGCATCGGCCGCACCCTCTCGCAGCTGACCCGGCTGGGCCTCTACACCGCCGTCATCCTCGATGAGCCGCCCCCTCCCGCCCCCGGCCAGCTGTCCCAATGGCGCCGCCACATCGAGGCGCAGTGCGACCGTGTCCTGGCCGCCATCGAGGCATCCGGCGGGCGGGCGAGGCGCGTCGACGGCTGCACCACTACCACCACCTCCCCCGGAGCCCCCAGCTCCCTCACCATCAGCACGCCAGAGCTGCTCCTCGCGCCGCTCGCCCGCGGCGTGATCCCCGTCCTCCCCCCACTCTCAATGACGACCGCGCACATGTACGCCGCGGCCACAGGCGACGACCTGCTACTATGCCTCACGACGCTGCTGGCAGCGCAGGAGGGCGTCGCGCTGGACCGCATCATCCTCCTCGACCCCCTCGGCGGCATCCCGTCGCACGACCGCCCCGCGGGCGCACACGTGTTTATCAACCTTGCGCAGGAGCACGCCACCATCACGGGGCACCTGCCCGCCGACTCGCCGCACGCCAGGAATCTACACACGCTGCGCACGGCGCTCGAGGGGCTGCCTGCTACGAGCTCCGCGCTGATTACGACGCCGTTGCTGGCCGCCGCCGCCGCCGCCGCCGCCGCCGCGGCCACAACCCCCCCTAGCACCCCCAGCACGACCGCAACCACAAAGACAAAAAACCCGCTAATCCACAACCTCCTCACCGACAAGCCGCTCACCTCGTCTTCGCTGCCCGTGCAAGCGCACCACACGGGGACGCTCACGACGCTGCTGAAGCGCGGCATCCCGCTGACCGTCCATGTCGGCACGCAGCTCTCGCACGGGTCCATCGACCTTCCAAAACTCGTGGCGCTCGTCGAAGACTCGTTCGGGAAGCGGCTGGATCTGGAACACTATTTGAACAGGGTGGATGGGCGCGTGGCGGCGCTGGTGGTGGCCGGCGAGTATGAGGGCGCTGCTATTGTCACTTGGGAGTATCCCGACAGCGACAGTGACAGCGACGTGGGGGCTGTCGCTGCCCACCCCCCCTCCGACACCGCCACGCACTGCGACGCGGAGGCGGCCGAAGCGGCCGCCGTGCGCCTCGCCAGCGCGCCCCTAGCCGCAAGGCCGAAGCGCGTGCTCTACCTGGACAAGTTCGCGGTGCTGAAGCGCAGCCAGGGCACGGGCGGCGTTGCGGACGTGGTGTTTAAGGGCATGGTGGAGGCTGTGCGCAGTGGGCGGCTGGATGCGGAGGGGATTGTGTGGCGGAGTCGGCGGTGGAACCCGGTTAATAAGTGGGTATGTTTATATTTCTCTCTTTTGATTTTGGTTGTGCGGTGGGGGTGGGGGGTATGTGGGATGTGGCGCTGATCTGTGTTAGTATTTCGAGCGTGCAAAAGGAACATACAAGATCCCCCACAGCGGGTGGACGATGTTCTGGACGTCGCGGGATGCGGGCGCGGATGCGGAGGGCGTGCGGAGGTTTAGGGAGTATGAGAGGGTTTGCAGGGCGATTGTGCCGAGTCTTGTGGACGAGTAGGGGTGCGGGTTGAGATACCAGTGGTTAGTTTGCTAGGATAATACGTGTTTAGCTATTGTGGGTCTTGTAATGATGTGATATCATGAGAATTGCACTTCGGGCGGTCTGGCGGCGTGGTAGTGGGCAGTGTTGGTTTCATGGGCGGTTTGGATGCTGTGATGGGATGGTGTGGCCCTTCTGGCGTAATGTTAAGGCTCTACAAAGACCCTCTTCTACCGTGTAACGACGGACCCTTTGCAGGATTTAAGTCACATTCACCTATCGTATCATGGCCAATACTTATATAAATCATCCCCAACCGGTATCAGCCAGTTACAATCGCCACAATAGCTATCTGGACCAATGATCACATTTTTACAACAGATAAACCCACAATGGAAGAAGATATTTTCTTCTGGTGTATAGCTTTCAGTAACAAAGGGCCAGAATCACTACAGCATCAGCCACACCCGCTTTCCTCCGATCCTCATGCGTAGCTAGAATACAGTCGATACATCCCAATCTTAATCCAATAATCTCAAAACGTACATCCCAAATAATACTTTCCAACAGATCAGGGCGGCAGATGGAGACCGCATTTCGTTGTGCGTATAGTTTGCAGCTAACAAAATTAAAACCCTGACCATTAAGTTGCTCGCATATTCGCAAGAGACGGTATTATCACCGAAACTTCCTCTCTTGGCCCCCCGCGGGGGGGGGGGGGGGGCAGGGGGTCGGCCGTCGCAGACGTGAAGTGGCCTCGATGGATCATGAGGAGAGGCGCTTCATAGCAGACAGGGTACGCAACTGCGGTGGTATTGGGGATCGATGGGAAGGAATATGGGTTTTTTGTGAGGCGAGTAGAGTGGTCAGATGTCGAGAGTAGGGGTGAGGTGATATATTTGCTGGACGTAGGGTTTTTTTATCCAATATGTTCGTGGAATGTGTTGATGGAGATGGCGGAAAGAGGAAAGAGGGATTGTATAGTGTTTTTTTTTTTTTTTTTTTGTTTACGGTTGTCTGCTCGGGTTGTGATAATGTGGCTCTACGAGTTCGGAATGGATCTGTAGACTGCAGCTGCAGTGGATAGCACGGTGTTGCACATGTCACCGTGTCGACTGTCGGTAGTAAGACAAACTCGAGGCGTGGCATGTGTGTTGGTCCTTACGGTCTAGTGTAGTTTAATAGAGGCCGACAGCCACCGTGTTGAACAGCATGCCGCTGAATTACGGGCGGGCTACGTAAGTAGGTTTCTCACACAATATCTGGTTCTATCTCGTTACTCATCATGCGTGCATCATGAAGCCGTACTGCGAATCAGCACCATTTCACCATACGTCACTTGGAGAAACTGGTACTGGCTGCGTGTATACACGCTAGAAACGATATGCTAAGGAGGATGTCAATTGAACTAGCTAGGTATCTCTTATTAGTAGAGGGTTTCTGTGTGCGTATATCCTATTCACCGGGTATACATCAATTGTGTTAATGCCGGAATCTAAAGCCGGTGCGCCCGGTGCGGATAAGAAGCTGTGGCTAAAGACACTGCTTACGCGTATACGTACGGCTCCCAGGTATCAGAAGTGGAAAACTATAGGAAGCCCGGTCGGGCCGACGCAGGCAATGTTATGGCATGCCCGACCGCAACGCGGCGGAAGGAATAATCGGGCCAAGATGCACTGACACTGGCGCTCATTCTTCCGCGCATCTTTTTTGTTTTATTACAAAATGCTATCTATTCTACTCTCGTTAAGCTAAATTATAATAAGAGGGTCATCAGGGTTTGATGAAGATCTGTATCCGGCACAGAAAGGTTCAGTTTCAGCCATATTACAGGTCATTTAATCATTGCCAACGCAGGGAAGTCTCAGAAATACGCTTATGTATATATTTAATCACAGATCTTGAAACTACACTCCACGGGTATTTATGAGGCCGTGTCCGCTAGAAGCGCCAAAAAACGTATATGTATTACTGGAATAAACGTAGAATAAATATGATTTCCTGCTAGGATCTGCCGGAAAAGCGGGCGAATCCAACAGCGCACAGAAATACCGTGCCGGTTCCACTTGGCGACGGAACACGAGTGATGGTCTGTGACGTAAGCCATATGCATGGCCTCAGGCCACACACAGTCCACCTCTTGGCCTGCGATGTAGCTAAACACGTTCGTATAACGTTTTAGAGGACATGTATCTACAGGGTATGCACGTTCATTCAGTATTGAGAATATCGGCGTACTTGTATGACCGAAGGCGTAGAGTACATGTAGTTAACTTCACTTCTCATCTGACAGCTGCACAGTCCATCAACAACACAAATTCCACTCCCCCCCCAAATAGTGAACCAAGGCTCAGTGTCCACATCTAAGATATATGTAATACCGTAGATGTTCCTGGTGGTCTCGCTCTCACCAACGGTATTAATATATTACGAACGCCAATCCACTCAATGGTGGTCGTCCTCTTCTTCGATGGCGACTACATGTACATACCATCCACAAGATACAGGCGGCACCACGGTCAACAGGGATGATAATCCGCTGTAGTCCAGTAATTTCTACGTGGTTACTAATGGTACGTTTCTTTTAGAATAGTCCACTCATCAGGGTATACCCTTCTTAGTCGGATGGCCATGGTTGATGATGATTTGCCGAGAAAATTAAAAGGTATAAGCCGGGTGCGTCATCCGGACCATTACGTTCTCACAACACCCTAAGGCTTCACGATCAATTTTGGCATAGCTACCTAGTAGATCTTCTTGTTATGTCAACTATCTAGACGAGGGAATTGTCCGAGTGGTGCTAGAGTGTCTACTAATTTATAAGTAGGTTCATTCACGGTCAACAATGAGCCATGGTTAGCCCGTACAATTTCTCTCGCTGACGGAACTCGCGTTTCAGCTTTCGTGATGCTAGACGTCAGCGGGATCCTCAACAGACTATCACGGCGGAAGAGACAGATACTGATTTGACGAGTGGCCAGGTTTCGAGGCTACACACGTAGTTCTTCTAGCCTACGAAATCATGCACTGGAATACGAATAACTATCGTCTTTGGTCAGCATTGAGTCGACTATTGCAGGACCTATTCCCTCGGTTTAGAACTTTTTTCTACTCAAATATGCATGGCATCCACATCCTGTTTGATGTCTATATAAATCGTGTCGGTCAATACCCACGTATGGTTTTTTGCGCCCCTTCAAAGGTCTAGTACACTGACTGACTATTCTTCTACTAGGATAACTATAAAGTGTCTGCTGCCGCCGGAATCAAAGTGGTGCAGCCTTTGCGATGATTCTCGTACGACCTGAACCAGCTCTTAAGTTACCCTGGCATTTCCGACAGGGTGTCCTGGATAATACGAGGATTATAGGCGAACCTATATATATCCGAGATTGACGTCCCTCCAGGCTCTGACATGATGGGTTGAAATTCTCAGCAGTCCTAGGATGGAGGGGAGAATGGAATATGAGCCGCTAGCTTGTCTGGCGGGCGCTACGAGAACTGGATGGGGAAAAAGGCTCTATAGTTAAGTAAAGGCTAAAGACACAACACTATGAGATTTGTTTCATGTATCTGGAATGCTGCACACTACTGACTACTACAGCCCACAAGAAAACTCTGTCAAAAGTCTTAAATGGGGCGGGGGTTATTTTGCAGGATTCCTATCACTCCCGAGACAGGCATACAATCTCATATAACGGCGTGACCCTGATGTTTTTACAAGTACTTGGACCTCGAGATAAGAAGAGCCAAGTACTTTTTCGGAAAGCTACCCAGGAACGATCTATAAGTTCCATGCCTTCACAAACAACAGCCCCAGAAGTAACACTCGTATCATGAAAAATCACTCGCACATCCACAGATTTCTGTTTGACTTGAAATACGCTAAATCGGCCTCATCTAACGTGTTCGTTCATAGAATGTTGAAAACTGGGCATCCCGTCCGCTCTGCCATACATAAACAACATATCGCCTAGTCAGTACTGCGGTGGGTGACCACGTGGGAATCCTGGGTAACGAACTCGTATCTTTAACATTTTGGCGCTCTTTGAGCCTTTGCTATTTCATTCTTGGTTGTGTGGGTGTCATACATTTCTTCTCCGTTGATTGATGTTGTAATTGTGGTTGGTTGCTCTATGCTGGTTAACCATGCCGTTTTGTAGGTGGTAGCTTAATCCTGAATTATACAGCTCGATTTGAGGTAACGATGATAATGATGCTTTTAGTTGGCCCCTTCCCCCAAGGAAATGTCCTCTAGAGCAATATGAGGTGATTCGAATGCTTTGCATACTGGTGCTTTCTAGTAATCCTAAGACATGACGAGCTACCATATGGCTAGGTGAAACCTAGAAACAATCGCACCGTAGTCGAACCCATCGTGGTCAAGGGGCACTATATCGACGTCCATCCCGCCTCTTTTCCTCAGTGCGCGCCACTATTCAATCCTTCCTATCATTCCAGCTCCCAGCACACAACAAAATGTCAAACCCCCCGCCGAAAACAAAAAGGGGAGCAAAAGACAAAAGAGTTCGGTACCCAGGATTCCCACATAGTCACCCACTGCAGTACTGACTAGGCGATACGATGTTTGTGTATGGCAGAGTCCAATTTTCATCGTTCTATGACCGAACACAGCGGTGTGTGCGGGGTTTGCGGTCAAAAGAGAGTTGGGCAGGGGACGAGTGATGGGTTGTGATGTGGGAAGGGGGTTTCTTGGTGGGGTGCCGGTGGGTTGGGGAGTGTGGGTGTGGCGTAAGGTTGAGATAAGGGTGGAACAAGGGTGAAATGAGGCTTTGGCAGCTTGTAAGATGCGGAAAGGTAAAACCAATTTTGGCGTAAAAGACTTCTCCCGTTGGGAGGGATTAATCGATGGCGGCAATACGAACCTACGGGTTCTAAAACATTTTTCAAACCAATCATGTTCTCACGCTGTGAGTACTTTGCTTTAACCACATGGCATCTAATTCTCGAGCCTGCCATCCCCTACCAGCAACTTGACACCCTTAGCTTCTATACCCTAAGTGACTGCAACAGTAACACCGAGGCAGAAAACTCCTACCCGGCCGCCACGCGAAATGAGGAAATGGCGGGAATGACCCATACCACGCCGCCCAGACGGGGGTGCTGCTTATTTTTACAAGTACTTAACACTAGAGGTGGGCCACCTCGCGACCGCGAGTTGTGTGCACAATTTAGGCAGCGGAAATATTATATTAAATTAGATATAAAAAAAAAATAATAATAAAAAATAAAAAAATTAAAAAATAAAAAATAATACTTGCAAGGTATTTAGGGTCCAAAAGAGTTGCTGGTGCAACAAAGGTACTTAGCTTAGTGGTAAATATCTGATACATGTCCTCAATGCTATGGGTTCAACTCATGGCGGGAGCGCGAGCTGTGAAATTCAGACGTTAGTTAGAGAATGTGTCATTGATAACCCTATAACGTTGGCATTTATGTCTCTTATAGGGAAGAGGGTTGTCCGCTTGGGGAGGCTGGGAACAGTCAACGATCCAAAAGTGTAATGCCCCGGTTATTTACTCCATCCAGCAGTCTGTGACAAAATTAATAAATTCACACGATCATAGTCGGGGAATGGGGTAAATAACCGGGGTAACTCGATGCAGTTTTTTTCTACTAATTATATGTTTTTTTTAACAGTTTTATATATTTCTATTACAAAGAGAGCACTCTAGAAAACAACAATAAGACAGGGAATAAGACAGGTAAATGTAAGGAAACATACACGCTAAAGAAATACAAAGTGCTAACTAAATACAGTCTACCGCTTTTAATCCAACTCCAATTCCTCCCCGTTTCCTCCACTTTTCTATCAAGTTTCCTCCCACCTGCCATCTCATTTCCTCCACTATCCTGTATCCCACCGTTTCCTTCGCCATTTCCAGCCCTTTTTTCCGCCTGCAAGTCCATCCTTCTATCCTATTTCCTCCATGCCCTGATCCTTTCCATCACTTCCCGAATTTGTTCTACCTATACGTTTGGTTAGCAGTTCCATGGAGTACGTTATTGAGATATATACTTACCATTCGATACCCAGTCCTCCGGCTTCTTCCATTCCCCCATCCTACACCCAATACCGTAACCCACCTCTCTTTCCCTTCCCTTACCAAGAACCTATAATAAGTGTTAGTGTAATATACCAATCTGTCAGCTCGCAGCATATATATACCATCTATTCAAAAATCCACCGTCTAGCTCCTCTAATCATATACCCCCGAGTCCTTCAACCGGCTCCAGCACAAATCCTTTGTATCCTAACCGACAGTCAGTATCAATAAAAATATGGATTAAGGGGACTTACTTCTTTACAGCAGCACTTCACGGTATACAATGTTGTCTGTTTGAGGCGGTGTCTCATCTCGTTGCAGCACCATCGAGCCAGCTACATCTGTGACTCTCGAGAGCGCTACATAGAGCTGCCCGTGAGTGAAGGGATCAGACCTCAAGTCAACCCCAACAACATCCAGTGATTGACCCTGCGATTTATTGACGGTCATCGCAAAGCATAGCCGAATAGGCAACTGCCTCCTCATTAATGTGAAAGGTAGATCTCCCTCAGTGGATGAAAGCTGTATACGTGGTATAACCTTTGGCTCCCCGTCAAACTCACCACCCAGAATCTTGGCTTCGATACACCGTATACCCAGTTTAGTTACCGTCATTCGTGTTCCATTGCAGAGACCTTGCTTCGGAAATAGATTGCGGAGTAGAATTATGGGCGCCCCCACCTTTAGTTTGATGATAGATGGTGGGAGGCCAGATGGATTGAGACCCTGCAGATATTCTGGAGGTAGCAGGTTTGCATTCTCTTCTGAATTCCCGCTATCAACAGTGTCTACCGAATAGTACGTGTGCACCTCGCCTTGAATTTGCTGTAGAACTCTATCATTGAACTCAGCGACTGTATCGTTTCTCATCGCCAGAATCGCCCACTTCGAGAATGCGGTGTAATTTGTTGGGCGGATTCAATTATATGCCGCGGGAATACATGCATACAAAGGTCCTCAATTGTCTTACAGCTCTGGATGTATGATGGTAGAGATATTCTACCATACCATCGGGAATCATGGCTCATCTGCCCAAGCCAAGCCGCAAACGCCTCATTCTCAACACCATTGCGGACCCTCATGTTGATCTTGAGTCTTAATATCTTGAAATGCTGCCATAAAGAAGACCGTTGTAGGCATGCCTGCACTATCTGAGCCCTATTACCGCGTTGCACAACTGGTAAAATCTGTGCAAAATCCCCTCCGAGTACGACCGGAATATTTCCAAACAGGCAATCATCACTCACACTACATATATCATTCAGGGTCCGGCTAACCGCTTCGAAGCAATACTTATTCTGCATAGGTACCTCATCCCAGATGATCAGCGCGGTCTTTTGAATTAAACCGGCCAACAGGGTGCCCCGTTTGATGTCAGATGTTGAGCCCTCATGGATAGCAATCGGAATTTTGAATCTGGAATGGGATGTTCTGCCTCCAGGGAGCAACTGTGCCGCAATGCCAGAAGAGGCAATACAAAGCACAATCTTACCCTGGGAGCGGAAATGGTTACAGATGACATTGTATAGGAACATTTTTCCAGTACCTGCGGGCCCTTGAATGAAGAATAGGGCGGACGCAGCTTCTTCAATACTGTGTGTAATAGTATTAAAGCATTCCAACTGTTCTGAATTGAGTTGTGAAATCCTCAACTGTAGACTTGCCGCTTCCGCAACCACATCATATCGTAGTTCTGATGCAATCATCTCGTTCCCACCTGTTCGGTTCCAATCCACTGTATAGAGGGGCAATCCAAAGTCGTTAAGCGTTCTGTTGGAGTCGGCAAGAATCTGTGATATCAGGTAGAGGCCATAGTCCAGGTGGGCATCCGGAAGCTCAGGGGGGATAATGAGACCTGTGTTTTTTTCCATAGCTCGGGGCAAGTCATCGCAGATATTTGACTTGAATCTATCCCATAATTGTAAAGGTTCAGTCACGTTGCCAAATAGTAAGGCAGTAGTGAAGAGTGTACGGAGGGAATATCCGCTCGAGAATAAGCTTGTTTCAGTAAAGCACTGCACCCACTCTTGATCATCGTCCAATAAGCCAAGGGCAATACATGCAGCCTTGAATGTAGGAAACAGCACATGATTGACAGTTTTCAGATGATCAAAAGATCTTGCGCCAGGGATCACGGTTAACAGTAAACGCATATAGTATTTCTCCCCCATCATAGGATTGCAATGCCACATACGTCCAATAGCCACACCTTTCTTCCTGGATGCCCACTTCCGCGATCTAGCGTCATAGGTAAAGTACACCGGGAAATCTTGATAGAGATACTGGGTACCATCCTCGTGCTCTGTATTGTACTCAAAATAAGCTATCAGTGTAGTTCTCGAGTTTTGCATCCTCTGTATCAACTCCTCCCAGTTAGAGTTATCCCCATAGTATACCGGTTGCTCGCCAGGCAAGTGAACAGCCAAGTGAATGACTGACGGGTATTCTTCATGCATCCAGTATTCGAACAAACGCCATACAGCCTCAGTGGGTCCTATATAACGCCCTTGGAGGTATCTAGTAATTTCATCCGAGTCACTCCCTACATGAAGTGTTGTTCGATCTGAACCTTTATATATATATTTGTGTATATATTTTATCGCGTGGATAGAACCACAGATCTCGACATTGATATGAGCTTTATACCGTAAAGAAAGATAAGGATTATATGGAACCACCCATCTGTTGTCCATCTGATACTCTTGATTAAACCCTGAGCCCCTTACTGCCACTGAAAAGGTTCTGCCATCATTACGTCTTCTATACAGTGGATAGCCATCCTCCTGTACAACTGTCTCTAATTGATAGGCCTTAGGGTACCGTTTCGAACATGCAGTTGGTCCCCCATTCTCCTTTGAAGCCATGCAGGGCGATCGCATATTGGCCTCTCCACATGGACCGTGTACCATACAACTTCTAATGATTGCATTTAGTTCCCCCGTAGGATCAGTCGCGGGGTCCGGTAACTCTGCACACACAATTTCGTCGATCCTCTCTGCTGTCAGAAAGCGATCATCCGGATGAAGGAATATCAGTAGATGCATGTGTGGCAGCCCTCTCTTCTGGTACTCAATGGTCCATACAGACCTAAGATAGCGATCAAAGATGTGTTTACGCTTTATTTCTTGGAGGAGTTGTTGTTGCTTGAGATGGAACACCCTTGCAACTAAATCTGACCTATCAACAGCAGTTTGCCCCGGTAGTAACTCCGCAGTAATCTCTTCCCACTTTGGATTCGCGGTAAAGGTAACAAATAGTGAGGGACGCCCAAAATGACGGACTATAGCCATGGAATCCTGGAACAACTGCAGCATGTATCGGTCGCCTCCTGTATAGCTTCGTGGTAGAATGATACGCTTCCCGGTTTATTCCGGGTTGAAGTCCTCTTGCCGCATATTATCCGCCAACCCATTGTACAGATCAGCCTGAATATTTGCCTGATTCAGTCGAAGCCAATTCAACTTATTCTGATCACAAACAGCCCAAGCATCTACCAAATACTGCTGAAATAGGCGTTGCGAGAGGAACAAAGTCATGGGTTCAGTCGTCCTAGTATGCAGTCGGTACCTGCACACCATGTATAGTAATCAAAAAGTTAGCCATATCAAAAAGTCTTTGAGCCATTGGTGTTTATAACTAACCTGTAAAATTCGCGTTGCTGTAACCTTAAATTCTTCCGTCGGTTCAACTCATCCCGCAGCCGTAAGCCCCAATGCCAACCCCTCTCACCATTTGGAAATAGCAGAACATAATGTAAGGGCATATAAGCGGCATGATTAGGATCAATTATACTAAACTGCCTATTGGCATCTGGATTTCTATGTGCTAAGACAATATCCCGGAATCCTGCTTCACCATATTCATCCGGGATAATCGCAGCGACTTCATTGCTTGTAGGCAAATTGTGTCTCCGCTTGTCCGCTCCACTCTCCACTATCAACCGCAATTGCGGATTGAGTAAGACACGTACATCTCCATCTTGTGAGGACACAGCTTCCAATCTTTCCTTCGCTGTCTTGTATAATGGAATAAATGGATTGACTGTGTGTATCTCTTGTATCAACCGTTCCAAAACCGCAATATCTAGAGTTGGATGTCCCTGCTGCATCATTTGTGCAGCGTAGAGTGGGTCATAGAAATATAACTGAGCAAAAGCGGGCGTATCGTTTGCTACTGCAGTCAGGGGCCCCTGAAGGTGGTATAGCTCGCCATGGATTTGGAAGCAATTAACCCCCCCAGCTTGACGGTCGATGCGTTCATCTGAGGTATATTTAACGGAAGTAAAGGTCAAAGCGGAGTTGTACTCCCTAATGCGGCTACGGAACTGTCTAGCAATTGTATCAGTTGATTCGAGGAGGTACCGTAGGTACTCGGGGGCTTGTTCCAATGCCGGCAATTGAACATCGCCTTTCTTGCAACAATTTTCAAACCGCGGTAGCGTAATTGAGCTCCCATGCACGCGCTCATTAAGCCAATGTAAAGCTTGACATGATGAACAAATCACTGTCATTCTGCCTAACTCCAATGGCGTCCAACGGGTTCGTGCCGACTGGAATGCTAATGGTACTGCAGGTTGAATTGGCGGCCGAAATGGCTGCCATAGTATCTATTAGAATAACTGCCCCGAGTAGTGGTATTAAGAGCTATGCTATAACTCACCTCTTCATTGTTCGAAATTTGTTGCCGTCTGGCTTCGGCCCGACGATGCCTACTTTGTAGCGCGCGAGCCTTATAATAAGTTCTAATCAGTAGAATTCAATTTAAAGTAGTCAATTCAAAACTCACCAAGCATGACCGACATGATTTACGGGGCCGGCCATTTCTATCGGAATCATAATCCGTAATATTTTTATTGTGTTTGCACGTTGTGCATTTAACCGTCGACATCTTGTCGAGAGAGCTGGGTGAGAACACTATGGAATGGTATATAATGGAATTTGTTTGGCTAGAGAGCAGATAATTCAATCGAAGATATTGATTGTTAAAGAGTTGATGGTATTTTATTCAGCAGATTTTATTCAGTAGATTTTGTTCAGTAGATTGTATTCAGTAGATTGAATTTTTGGCAAAGAGTCCGGTCCCAAGGAGTTGTGTGTGTTATCACCCAGCTCCCATAGACCCACCAGTGCAAAATAGGGGGGTTCCGGCCACTTGACGCACTGGGGGTTATTTTCAGGGTTGAAAACGGGTTTTTTTTAGTGCATTTCCGCAACTCCGCAACCCACACTCAGAATCCGTACCCCAAGGGTGCAACGGGCGCGACACCTCAAATTCAGAGTGCACCCGCTACCTGCAGGCAGGGTAACCCCAGGCAGGGTAACCCCAGGTAGGGTAACCCCAGGTAGGGTAACTGCACCGAATTAGGCAGGGTAACCGCACGAAATTTGATGTGTCGTGCTTACTACACACCCCTGTCGCTCTCGACCAATCATATTGCAGAGAGTTCAGAAGAAGTGTATTCCAGTACATATTAGACTAGGGGTGCACCACCTCGCGACCGCGAGGTCCCCTTCTCTCCCACCTATGTGTAGTATCTAGGCACCTCCAGTAATTAGTTAATTTTGTCTTAGCCGTCTCATGGTCTGTTTTCCCGGCCATGTCGCATAAATGCCTAAATCTTGCTCTGGAGATCTATTTCCGATTTTCAATGCCAGGTCCAGTGCCAGCTCTAATGCCCGCTCCGGTGCGAGCTAAAATCAAGGTCAGCCCCAGTGTCAGCTTCGGTGTCGGCTCAAATATATGCCAGCTCTAGCCGGGGCCGCCCAAATGCCATCTCTAATGCCCGCTCCAGTGCCAGCTCCATTAGATGCCGGCTCCAGTGCCAGCTCTGATGCCCGCTCCAGTGGCAGCTCCAGTACCCGCTCCGGTGCCCGCTACGGTGCCAGCTCCGGTGCCAGCTCTAACGCCCACTCCTGTGCCCACTCTTGTGCCCACCCCTATTCCCGCTCCTGTTCCTGCTCATGTTCCCGCTCTTGTGTCCGCTCCGGTGACCGCTCGAGTGACTACTCCGATGTTCCCCTCGATGCCAGCTCCTGTGCCAGCTCCAATGCCGGCTCCAATGCCCCTTCCGGTGCCCGCTCCACTATATGCCAGCTCCGGTGCCAGCTCTGATATATTCCAGCTCCCTTCACCGTTCCTCCACCGCACTGGCACCTCCTCTCCCCCTCTTACTGGTCTTCCCTCTCCCTCTTCGCACCCTCCGCCAACTACTGTTTGTCTCACTCGCCTATTCTGCTCATATTTGACTACTAAATAGCTATATTTATTATTTAATCATAAAGGGTTCCGTTGGTTGGGCTGGTCTCATGGGTAAGGTCAGGGTTAGGGTTTGTGCTTGGCAGGAAAATAGGCAGGGTAACGGCCCTGAGCAGGCAGGGTAACGCTCAAAAAAGGTAGGGTAACGCACAAAAAAGGTAGGGTAACAGCTCAGAGCAGGCAGGGTAACCGCACTAATCGGGTAGGGTAATCATCTCAAAATAGGCAGGGTAACTGAACAAAATCGGGCAGGGTAACTGCACCAAAGATACGAATTTGAAGTGTCGTGCTTACAAAACACCCCTGTCGCTGTCAACCAATCAGACTGCAACAATCAACGGATGATGATATTCCAGTACATATTAGATATCATGCGAACTGACAGTGTGATAGGGCCTAGGATGCGGGTTCGGAGCACTGATCATGGCCAGGGTTGCAAACCGCCCTCTTCATCAACCGCCCCGCCACCAAAACGAGCAAAAAGAGGTAGGGATGAGTTCGTTACCCAGGATTCCCACATGGTCACCCACTGCAGTACTGACTAAGCGATATCGTGTTTGTGTATGGCAGAGCGGACGGGATGCCCAATTTTCACGATTCTATGAACGAACACGTTGAAGCCTGTCTGTGTGAATTCAAAACCGAGTGCTACGTTGTGATGGAGACGAGTGCGAAACTGTGACTGGCAGGGAAATACTTGCCTTTTTAGCGACACCTGAAATCTTTGTTGAGGTTCGAGTTAATTATTGTACGCTATACAAAAGCTACTTGTAGTCCATCGAGCCTACGTACGGTTTGTTTTGCTGCTGGTGTGTTGCCGACGCCGGCTTTGGTCGCACACCGCATTGTCGTGCTGAACCGCACCTGTCTGTGCGGAGCCGCACCTGCGCTACTGTCGTGCCAGAACCCCACATGCCCTACCAGTTTACGACTAAAGAGTCCCATAGCCGACAAATAAAGTACTACTTTCTGCCAGCACCGTACCCACAAAATAGACCATGAGCTTGGGGTTACTTTAACGCCCGAATGGGTATTTTTATAAGCGTTGTATAACGCTTAAATAAGGCTTATTTAATCGTCTTTGCTCGCATATTGCTTATTCCGTTTTTACGTCTCCAATAAACAACTCTCGTCGTTGAGCATTATCCCTGATAAGGATTTTCTAATATTTTAAGGCTTATGTCGATTTTTAAGGATTATTTTTTAAATAAAGACAAAAAGAAAAAGGCGGGGGGGGGTTGAACCCAAAGCCTTGCAGGTAGCATCTACCTCATGCTACCCATTGAGCCATAGGGGAACTGAAATTCCGGTGCTAGAAGTAATATATGGCCAATATAATACGAATTTTTAAGCCTTATATAAACCTTATTCACCAAAAATCCTTAAAAAAAAGCCTTATTTGATGGATAAGGTGTATCTGGTGTAAAGACTTAAACCATTTGATAATAATCATCTAAATCTAATACTCATACATAAAATAAGCCGTATATATGCCTTATTTTTGAAAAACTCTTACCCAAGAAAGAGCCTTATCCCAAATTAAGGCTAATACCACCATTGTTTGTCAATAAGGCCTTATTTAACGCTTATTTGGCAATAAATTGTTGCTGGAGGCTTATAAAAATACCCATTCGGGCGGTAATGTATGTAGTTATGTGCCCTTCCGTAACCCACAGATAAAGTAAGTATATCACCGCCGCATGTCTTATCTGGCGCGGCTACGACGCATATCAGGAGCAACTTTGAAGATAGAAATGTGTCTATGGTTCTGCTGTTATAATTTAATGCGACACTGCGCTCGTTTATACTAACAAAACTACATACATATTGATATCTACATGGCCTTCTGGCGGCGGCGGTGTAGTATTCGCACGACAAAGACGTTGAAGTGTCCGTTCGGTGGCGAGCTTTGGAAGACCGCAAAGACCATCGTGTTGGGACACCTGGCTAGTTGAAATCCGTAGAGTACAAGTACGTACTTGCCTCCTCCCTAAAATTGCTTGCTGTCCTTTGCTGTCCTGTGCCGTCCGTTGTCGCCCTCTTTTGGCGCTATCGTCTGGCGAACAGGAGTTAGGGTTAGTAAAATCAAAAAAAAGGAACCTGGAGATCCTACAGCTTGCTATAACTTCGTCCCCTGTGAGCTTGAATGATTCGTCGAGTGATAGCGAACGAGTGCAGTCCCCCACAAGCACGACCCGACACCATGGTCCAGGACAGAAAAAGAGTACCTCAACCTACCCGCTACCCCAGCGCCTGAGAACTTGAGGAGTGCAATCACTATCACTAACCGCGCTCATCTGTAACCACGATCATCAAAGGAATAATCCTTAACCACAAAAAGTAAAAGGAATGAGTTCGTTACCCAGGATTCCCACGTGGTCACCCACCGCAGTACTGACTAGGCGATATGTTGGTTATGTATGGCAGAGCGGACGGGATGCCCAGTTTTCAACATTCTATGAACGAACACACTCATACGTGCTCAGAGGCATCTTTGTATTTAGTAGTTCGCGTGATGAGTGACAGATGGTGACCGAGTGCGATGAAATGATTCTGCTACGTTCCCATCGGGGTGATCGATTTTGAACTACATGTGGCGGTTTGTTTACCATTAGCGAGAAATGCTTGTGACTGAAGGAAACATAGGATAAGGAGAAGAGATAATGTTTCTAATTACATCGACATGTTATGAAGACCACACTCAAAAGAAATGTAAAATAGTGAAATATTTTGTAAGGAAGTTAGAGATCTCGGTGAATTGCGACTAATACGATGAAGGAGAAACATAGATGAAGAGAGGAAAGGGCATGCGCAATTGGATGGTACAGCTCATTGAATCGGTACACATGTGGCTCCTCTTGGTCCTACACCCATGCGGCATACAGGCTTACTTAGGTATTGGTCTAGGCTCGTCCCCAACCCCCCTGCTGGCGAGAGCAGCTTGCTGCTAAGTAGGGGATGGGTACGAGACTAGTATTGCTCGCTGGCTTACAGTTTCCGGTAGAATTGTTGCGGGGGCTAGTCCTAATTGGGGTTCCGTTAGTACAGTAGCGCTGATAAGATTATCGGATCATGAAAAACCCACTTCCACTAGAAACCGTAGCACCGGGCTCGCCTCACCACACCCAAATAGCTACGTCTCAATAATCGAACAATCAAGTATTGATCTTTCTCTTTCTGAAGAATATTGACAACATCGATGTAGCCCCCTTCCGCTGCCGCATGTAGTGCTGTTCGGTCGGACAACTCTGAGGGGCGGGCATTGACGTCGGCACCCTTCGCGAGCAGAATATTGACAACATCGATGTGGGCCCCTTCCGCCGCCGCTTGTAGTGTTGTTCGGCCATACCAGGCGGGGGGTGCATTAACGTCGGCACCCTTCGCGAGCAGGATATTAAAAACATCGATGTGGCCCCTCCCCGCCGCCGCCGCCTGTAGTGCCGTTCGGCCGGACAACTCTGAGGGGCGGGCATTGACGTCGGCACCTTTCGCGAGCAGGATATTGACAGCGTGGCCCCTTCCCGCCGCCGACTGTAGTGCTGTTCGGCCGGGGTACACTGCGGGCGCATTGTCATCGGCCCCAAGGTCAAGTAATATAGCGACCAGCGCCAGATGACCGCGTTCTGCCGCACATTTTAGCGCATTCGCCAAGTCGCCTGACTTTGGATCGATTCTATTTCTTAGTAATTGAATTAGAACCTCCACGTGGCCGTTTTCAGCCGCGGCCTCCACCGCTGTGCGGCCTCCATGCTTCGCTGCCTCCGCATCCACATGACTCCCATATCTCAGCAATGCATCAACCACGCCCAAATGTCCACACTCTGCTGCCGCCTGTAACGCTGTTCTTCCCTCCTCATCTCCTGGCGACTCATTAACATCTGCTCCATAATCTACCAATCTCTTAACAACGTCAAGATGGCCCCCTTCTGCCGCAGCTTGTAGTGCTGTTCGCCCGTTCTTTCTGGCGGGCCCAGAGTTCAAAACGGCCCCTTGATCTAATAGTAGATTGACCAGATTCATATGGCCACCCTCTGCCGCAGCTTGTAGTGCTGTTCTCCCGCGACAGCCGGACAAACCTCCACCTACATCTGCCCCACTCTGTAGCAACGATTGTACCACGGAGAGAAAACCTCCACCTGCGGCAGCTTGCAGGGCCGTTAGCCCGTGTTCTTTCGCCGGAGGAGCATTGATAGTGGCATTTGTATCCAGTAACCGATTCACAACATCTAGGTGTCCTCCCTCCGCCGCTGTTTGTAACCTCCATCAATATCAATATTTAATACTCATAGATACTCATAATGCAACAACTCGCGGTCGCGAGGTGGCACACCCCTAGTAGTATGTACTACGGGAAGAGGATCATGCTTTGTACTCTACGTGCGGGTGGCAGTATCTGGGACTGCTGGTCGTCATATTTCCGTCGCTTGCGGGTTCGGCTATGCTTCGTTGCGGTACATAGTGTTGATCATAATTTTCGAGATTTGGTTAGGGCGATTGAGGCTCTTACACACATGTGGGGTAATTGCGGGGTAACAATCTAAGCAGAACAAGCCTAGCGACACTCGGGAGGAGCCGCAGAGCCGCAGAGCCGCAGAGCCTCACTACAAGAGGGTTGCAAAGCCTGGTTTACTGCCACGCGCAGAACACTTGCACTTGTGGTATGGCATTTATTCTACGCTTAGCGACACAATCCTTTACACCGGAGTGTGGTGGGCTATGCGGGTACATATCTGAGGAACGAAATCTAATCTTTACAGTAAGAGGGTACAGAAGGATGGGTTATATATTATTGTCCACGCATTAGTGTACCTTCAATCTGCTCTGATTAGATGGTTTATATTAGCTTTCTACCAGCTAACTTTGTCATTTCAGTCATTTCACTAATTCCAAGAACCTCTAAAGCCAGTCCAACTTTACACCTTCATAATCTTTAACACAGACGAGGAATTGGATTTGCAGTTGGTCAACTAGTGACTTACTCAAAGCCTTGCAATTGGGCTATTGGTCAAACCCAAATAGATTTGAAACAGCATAGAACTACAAATATATCCTACAAATTAAGCTTATTCACCTAATGCTAATGCCCGGGTATTTACCGTTCATATACATAACCAATACCCCGTATCTTCGCGAATTAAGCTCGAATTTAATATCAATGTCGAAATGCCTAAACTTTCCGGCGCTCGCGTTGTGCAGGTAACCGAATACTCTCGTGTCTTGTGGACCGTCTGTGATGGACAGCTAAAAATTTAGTATAAATTAGCTACGAATATTTATGTATAGTTGGCAAGCGGATGTGGTTCTCACATCTTGCTTCGGAAGAGAGAAGTCGTGGAAAGCCACTGATACAAATTGGTTTCCCATAGTCCCCCCAAAGAGAGAGGAAAATGCATATCTCCTTATATCTATGGATGTTCTTTAGGGTAAATTTGACATCATAAGATATCTTCTCAGGTGATCTTGTTCCATCTCCTGGGCTCACTTCCGCTTTCAATTCTTCCATTTCCTCGATCGGCCTATATTTCTCACCGATCAGGAAAAGCGCTCTACTTTTCCCACCCCTACATCGATAGGTTTCCATTTTCCGTGATAGTGCGACTGATCCCACCCGACATTTTATCCGCCCTGTAGGTGTTAGTATTTTAGAAGCTCAAATAACTATCCGCAAGTGGGATTACCTTTGCATGTGAGGTTTGCGTCTTTCGAGTGGTATGTGCATGTATCTTGAGTGACTTCCATGAAGGCATCGCAGAAATCGAAGTAAAAAAGCGATGCAACCATCATATTCGAAATTAGAGTGAGCTTTGTAGTATCTTTCGATACATATTCTTTCACAGCCTGTTCTAAGTTTTCAAGTTGATCGATAGCATCTAGTCGTGGAATCGGTGATTTGAGATGCGGATTGAGTCTCTGATATCTTTCAAATCCTTCGCACTCAATGTCTTCGAGTCCGATACTTTTAATAAAGTCATTCCACATAAGTTCCGAATTCATGTCCTCCAATACAGCTTCAGATCCGATTTTCCAAAGCTTTTTCGCAAAACTCCTGACACCCCGCTTTGGCACAGGTTTTGAGTTCTCGGTTGCAGGAGCTGGCGGATTTGGATCAAAACCTGTTCCAATTGAAAGCACGATATCGGGGTCTTGTTTTGAGAAATTCGGCCATATTGCCTTCCTTTCCCAGTCTGCAATAAATACAGGATTATTGCATTTTAGAGCACCATCATCGAAGGCATACTTAGTTGCAGGGTGTAGAAACGACTTGAAATACCCCGGTGCTGCTGATGTAGCCCGGGCTCTATCATCGTGGAGAAATCATGATCAGCAAATCGCTTTAAAATGCAGCTGCCAGGGGTCTGGGAGTACGCTACGCTTCCCAAACTTGCAACTCTGTTTCTATATTGTCTCCCCTGAGAAAAACATAATCACCTGGAGAGATATGTATCAGAACCTTTAATTTCAAAAGAGTGGACGAAGTAGATATAACCCACCAGTGTCTGGAGAATTATCAGTACTTTCTATAACCTTGATCATGGAGGGCTCAAAAGATTCGGCATCTGTATCCCAAACAGACCGGTCGTCACTTGCTTCTGAAGCTGAAGGTGATGTTCTTGGAACATCTTCGCAGTGTTGTTTACTTTCGTCTTCGCTGTACATGTCTGTGTCGATGCTATGCGTGTCTTCTTCATCTTCCCTGCTTGCTGAGCCGTCATCCTGAAGGAGTTGTATATTACTAGTGTTTTTCTTAAGTGGAAGTACACCCCTTTCACTATTCATATTGAGTACTTCGTTAGGACCGGTACCAGGCTCGCTTCCAGTCTCGATGGCCCACGGCTCCTCTATAGGTAAATCTACGCATTCATTCTCCATCTTCTTTATGCAAAGCTTTTGGCGAGAAGGTCGATTATAGTTTCCGACGAGGAAAGAACGGCGGTTAGATGTCATCGTAACTGCCACTTTCAAGTTTCTTACGATTTCTTGGTTTCTGTCAAGATTGGCCCCAAAAATCGGGGTATCCCGGAAAACCTCCTTCAATGTGCTTTCCAGCGGTAATGTCTTATAAAGGCCATGATGGCGAGCCACAACCAAGTGTCCGATGATTGGTATCTCGGCGCCTCGTCGTTTGATGAACGCTGTATTCGCCAATCTCTTGAATACTCCAATCGCCTCGTCAATATCAAACTGTCTGAGGCCTATTCCTGCGGCGATTATACCTCCGCCGCTTGGCCGTTGTACCGCAGTAGTAAGCCATCGATCAAAGTAACGCTTGGGGACAAGGGACCAAAATTAGGATAAAAGAGGTAGCATACCTTGTACCCACCATCAAGTCGAAATACCTCTCTATGGGTATATCTAAATCAATGAGCTTCAATAAATATTTAAGAATATGAAGCTGCATGATTGATCTTATCCCGCCGCTAAACGAGTTGAATGTGGGTTAGTGATCGGGACGTATTAGATGAACCCACTGTGCACAGGTAACCCACCCGTCCAAACATAAAATCCGCAGTCCAGCTGTTGGGGGCTTGATTTCAAATTTTGAAGGCCCTCTATTGGAGGCACAGAGTGGACATGCTCTCAGCACAAGACAACAAAAATGATCGCCCTTGCTCGAATAGTCTTCAAGACAAGCCTGACAGATAACATGACCACAGAACAACTTGTGAGCCGGAATAGATGTCAGGCAGCAGCAACATGATCTATGGCTAACAAAGACACTGATTCCATTACATGTAGTCCTGCGAAGGGTCTCAAATGTAGACATGTGGATGTCCGCGGCGATCTCCCTGATAGTGATATGATCCTCGCGTGTTTCCTTTGCTCTCGTACGTTTTTTATAATTCGTCTTGATACATCTCTCCAATGACTTTTTAATGGCTTCTAAGAAAGACTCCTCAGCCAGTTTTTTGTCCTCCGGTGTTTCGAAGGATGATTTAAATTCCAGCCTGTAGTTTGGGTCTGTTGCGCTAAATATCTTTCCCTCACTATTTTGGTGATTCTTTGAATCGTGAGTAGACTTGAGATTGACGCATCGGTTATGGTATTTGTCCATCGCTTCGCAAGGCCATTTTTGATCGTAAAATTCTGACTGTGCTGTTGTGCAAAAATGTTGATATCGTTTGAGCATAACTTCCGCCACCTCTATTTAAATTAAATTTGATAAGATTAGCCAAAGATTATAGGAAGGTCTTATGATGGTATTGGTGGAATTATATAAGGTGGAATCTTGTATGAAAGCAAATGCATAAAACAATGATTTTGAGGTGTATCTAGCCGGTAACCTCCCGCACCGATCGTGGTAGAATTAAGCCAGCCGCTCGGGAATCGATAGCTTACATGCAGTGCAACATAATTGCCAGGATATAGAAACTATGGGGAGCGTAGGAGTTTTGGGTATCCCAGGAGCGGTTGTAAGAAGGACACACCCTTAAAAGAAGAAACTCAAAGGTTTCCTAAGCTGGGATATAGCTATAAAAAATTCGCCATTGATAAAAGAGAGGATCAGATACCGTTACTTGGTAGGTCTAGTCGGTGGGAATCTAAGAAAATGCAAGATCCAACCCACATCCCTAGCTCGGAGAATATTTCATTTCCCGTTTTCTTCGGGTAAACCTTCATGAATTGTACGGCTAGATTGCATATATGGTCTTTGAGTGTCTGTGTAACCGGATTACGTAGTAAAGCAGCAGATAGAAAGTTGAAAGCTTTACTGGGAGAGGCCGCGAAATGGTCAAAAGCCATACCAAAATATCTCTCTAGAGTTTCACCAGACATCAAAAAACCGAGCCTTTTCCTGGTTCCTCGAGCTTGCTTCGAAAACCTTGTCAGCACCTTCTGAAGCTCTACATATTGCGTCATTGTAAGTGAAAGTTTATCATTCTTCATATCAGGTATACATATAACCTTAAAGTCGGAGTAGTAGCATCTTATCAGATGTCGAAGAGTCTTGATTTCCCGCCCACTCTGGTTTCTCCACTTATTCGCCATCTGTCCTATTATTGAGGAGTCATTATCGACCAAATTTTGGTGCAACCTTAGAAACTCCGTTGTGACTTTGTCATGATTCCACCAGTCGTGGAAGCCATCATCATCAGACGAAGTCTAAATAAAATACAATTAGCTGTTGGATTCACCTGGTACCATTAATTTATAAAGACAGCCTCTGATACCTCCGGTTCGAAGACATTGATTATAATAACCGCGTGAGGAAGTAGAGGTTGATTGGTAGACATATCAATGGCCTTATTTGCCCAAAGGAGTAGTTTTTCTAGGTGTTTCTCGAAGTTCCTATAATTATAAGTTATTTGAATTCATCATTTCAAGGTGTTATATGATGTATGTACCTTGCGTTCCGTGTAACAAAGCACACAACGTCTGAGAAAGGAAATAGAATCCTAGGGTAGAGCGTCTTTACCGCCGAACCGCGGGTTATAGGAGGAGGCATTGCTCTTCGCTTCTCCACGTACAAATCCCGCATCCTCTGAAGTGTCTTACTCCCTAGACACTTTTCAGCAATTGGGACATTCTCGCCGCCATTCATCCCTTCGCAGTCGGCATAGTACATGGGGTATTTGGTGTCGCGGGTCACCGGATCGCAGAATAAATGTACATCGCCGCTGGTGGGGACACATTGGTCGGTGGTCGTTCCCATAACCGGAGATAAAGTGTCGATGGCCTCCGACTGAGGGGAATCCGTGTTGGTCTCTCCTTTGTTTATAAACGCTACCAGCTGTATCTTATTCAGCATCTATGCAATGGGTTCTAGTGCTAAGAACATTTACCTTGGTAATCCCATTGATTAATGTGCTTTTTCCAGCTCCAGTATCTCCAACGAAAGATACTAAAGAAGGATAATGTTGGAAGGGAGGAAGCTGAGACTCTTTCAAAAGAGTAGCAAGAGCTCCGAAGACGTGCAACGACGGTTTTGTTGGGGTTTCTAAATGGACCCCGAACCATTTCGAGGGATATGCATCTTCATGTTGCTGCTGACGATCTTCGATACGAGGAACGTAGGTATTGAACAACCGAAGGACAAATCTTGCCACCTCTAAGTCAGTTCTCTCATGAGTCTTGTGCCTCTCGGTCTGTTTGCTGTGGATCCGCTGAGCTTCGTAACAACTATCGCAATATACCGCCTCACAGGGATGACAATATTTTGGTTCCCCTTCATGCTTTGGATTTTGATAGTCATGTTGACATTCATCAGCAACCTGAATTAAAGGCATTCTCTTTGATTGCGATATTCACTATGAAAGATTTGAAACTGCTGTTGTGGAAGATGTAAATAGAAATATAAAAGTGAGAGGCGGGGTCCTGGTGAGAGTAGGGTGCCCCTCTATGTTGCATGTAGAGGATTATAAGCTTTCGAAGGCCAAATTTTCCAAGATCTACCCAGGCACACCTGCCATGTCGATCATGGCTCCAGTACTTTGTGTTGAGCTTGAGATCACAAAAAAGCGACTTGGCTCCCCGTACTACATGCATGTACGTACATGTATATAGAGAGTCGTTCAGTTTAAAATTCAGTTATATTCAAGGTGAGCTACATGTACTCTACTTGAAAACACAAAATTACATGCACATGCGCATGCATATATGTGTAGTAAATGTAGAGTACTATCCGTGTATACACATATAAGTACCTACATGGTACATAGAGTATGGTGCGCCCAATCATAAAGGTAGTCAAAAAATTGGGGCGAGGTCGAGGTTGAATAACTTTCCAACGAAACAAATTATGAAAAATCCGGTTGGTAAAATTGAAGTACTAGTAATGAAGAAGAATTTTACCAACCAGATTTTTGATATCTCTCCTGGTTAAAAAGTTATTCAAGCTTGAAATTCGGTATTTTAGTATGTAAAATGCGCCAAGCAATCACAAAGTGGAACAGGCTTGGCAGTAGGGTAACTGCAACCTCAATCTCACCACACCATACCTCAACTACACCTTTACGCACCCAAAGCTGGTACGCAACAACACAACCAGTTTTCAAGAGTTAAATTCGTAATTTTGGGAGGTAATAGTCGATTAGCTTAAAAGTATATAGAAAATTTAAAATGAATTTTTAAATACACAAATAGTGATAGGATTTGCATTTTCATTGTTAAAAAGGCTATAAATCATTGTCTATTTAATGTAAAATTATTTTCAGGGTTCTATATTGTTAAGCTACATCTTATTTACTACATTCCCGAAGGAGAGAATAATATCTTGTGTGGTTGTTGTGCTCAAAATTATTTGGTGTGGGTGGTTGCCATGGAGCTGGTGTAATGGGGGTCTCTTCTAAGAGAAATAAAATAGGATAGAATAGAGACGGCCATGCAAGATAGACAATCAGGTTGCGGATTCTTCAAAGATACTATCACTAGAACTCAATAACCTTTAAAATCTCTGCTACCGATAAGAACTTGATATTTCTTTCTGATGAAGACTCGAGAGAAAAGGACTGAATGGTGAGAATGAACCTGAGTACTTATACTTCGAAGGCTTCTAATCTCTGCTGCTAATTCCTTACTAAGTTCTGGTGAAGCTTTTCCTTGATCAGGGAAACAATACCACCGCTACCCTGCTTTTCTCTAAGCGTCAGCAGGTATTTCTGATACCCAAGACAACTACCCTTAGTCAAGGCCTGCATAAATGAGCTGCCACTCAGGTGTAAGCTTAATCATTGCTGTAGAGCTTCCGCTCATTGTAGACTTTCCTGGCATAGTCCATGCCACTATCGGCGGTCTTACAATGCTCAGAGGATACAGAGGATCACCAGGCAATCAGAGCTTCACTCTGGCCGGCCTTCTAATCACTGGTGAGGCATAGACTCGTCAGTCATTGCTCCCATGAATAGATCCCCTTCCTAGCGCCCGGAATGTAGTTACTCTAACAGCTGGCAGCTAACCACACTACCGGTATTTGCATATCACCGTGCAACTGGCTTCTAACAATAACTCTCAGCATGTAACCGGGCCCTGTGTGTGCTCATACATCAGACAGTTGAAATGGCTCCGTTACCGCTGGGAATGATAGAGATGCAATATTATTGTCCTCTTGGTTTATGCACCATAACTCTATGAGTTTTCGAGATTAAGACAAGTACTTTTCACAGTATCTCGCTGGATAACCTCCCAAAATTACGAATTTAACTCTTGAAAACTGGTTGTGTTGTTGCCTATCAGTTTTGGGTGCGTAAAGATGTAGTTGAGGTGTGGTGAGGTTGCAGTTACCCTATTGCCAAGCCTGTTCCACCCACCAAACCTGACTTGTCACCTTTTGTCACCTTTATGCGTGGGCGCACCATATAAGTAAATTTTAGGCTTCCTCTAGCAAACCCGAATATATGGGCTGGGCTTGAATTGGGCAGGCCGGGCCAGATGTTTTTTCGAGCCAGGATATCTCATTGAACTATAGCTCTAGCCTAGGCCTTGGGGGTTGCTAATAATCAAACAAATAACTAGTAGGACGTTTGACATGAATCTTACCAGTTTCAACTGATATCAGTACTCACGTCGATATGACAGTACACTTTAGCTACACAGCTTGCTCATGATCATGATGTCGACGATTGGAGTTCCAAGATACTGCACATGATACTGCGCAGAGGAATGCTCACTCAATTGCAAAGATCTGATCCAATGCGAATCAGCCGATTACCTCGGTTAATTATTCGATGCACAATTTTCCTCTTTAGTTTGGGCTGCTTGCGCAGCCACCAATATTACGGCGATCGATGCCAAACCATACATTTATACATATAACGTTTGGGGCCTAGAATTGACCTACATACAAGTACCACCGAAATCTGATATTTATGCACAATTTACGCCCATATGCAGGCTTAGCCCAGCCCGGAAGCGTTATGGCGAGAAACGTAACGAGGCTGAGTTATATGTAGTACATGTATGCACATAGAGTATGTATACATGTATATACATATATTGTATGGAGGCATAACCTCCTGGTCCTGTCTGGAATTGCATGATATGATATCACATATATATGTATTGCGATGGCTACAAAAAGTTGATGCGCTCGTTGGAGCTTTATTGTTGGTTAGGCGCTGTATGTGCATCGCTCCGGTAGGCAGAGGCTGGATCCTGCCTGAACGTACTACAGAATATGACGGATCCCCGTCGAGAACCCCGCAGTAACGATCCATGTAAAATGCGCAGGCAAGTAGAGTAACTTCACTGAGATTGTGTGGTTTGGATAGAAACTCTGCGCGTTGCAACCAATAGGAAGTTCAAATTACATATATAGCCAAAACGAATAGAACCAGCTGACCTGAGGCTGCATATTGTAGAGCGAGTGGGCGTTCAGCCTCAGTCATAACCGCCAAAAGCAGACCTTGACCAGTAGGAGTGCAATATTCCAGTAGGAGTGCAATATTCCAGTCTGCCACTGCAGCCCCGTTCGTCGGATATCGTCGAGTTTTTCTGCCGCAAGTGCAAGTCCTCCAGTATGGCAGGATTCCCCCTGCAATCTGTTGCTTTTGTGTTATTATTTTTTCAAATTCATTCGCAGCCCTGAAGCTACGACGCTCATCACGCTTAGCGCAAAGCACTTACCACCAGAATGCACCCCCCCCCCCCCCCCCCCCCCCCCAAACTCCACCGCAAAAGTTACTCTGAATAATAGGGAAATGAAATAGACAAATCATTTTGCAATTAGTCATTTCTAAACCGGATCCAATCTCTTCCAGCACAGTTCGACTAGGAAGAAGAAAAGACCAATCAAGACCTCCTCAGGACGGAGATTATTCTAGCCCATACTTAGGGCCAGCTCTGCCCTCTCACTAGGGAGGACCCGACTAGACCTCGGCCTTAGCCTAATGCAGGCCCGAGATCTATATCGTAACAAAGCGTTCTCATCAATCCCGAGCCCGCATTCCTCAACCTTGTGACAGCTCCGTGATATGTAGCTTTGCTAACTGTTTTCTCGGCTTCCTTACCACCTACCATATCTACTCTTGTTGATGCGTTGATGGCCCATACATATCCATCCACTGATACCCACTGATACAAAGCGTATACTTCATCTCAATGGATTATCTGTATGCAAAAAATGTTCTCGGATGGACTCAGCATAAGTGCAGGCCAGATCCGCGTTTAGTAAAGGATGTTGACCCTACCATACCGGCCCAACGCCCAAATAAGATTTGAAGCCCTTCCAAAGCCTCAATCCTATCTCCATAGCTCCAAGCCCAAGCTTTAACCGGAGCTCAATTCTAGGTAAACCTCCTAGGATCTATATGAGGACTCTTGTCCCTTCCGGAGATTATAGACGCCCAAAGGAATCTTCTGAGTGAATCCATTCCACGGGTTCTAGACATATCGTCGCGGGGATAAAGATATAATACTATCTATAGACCGGTGTTTTCTGGCTTCGGGTGTGTTTATTGTTGGAGGGTTGAATACACCGCACGCTGCCTTACACTGCACTGAGCTACGCAATGTCTATGACCTAGTGGCGTATTCTACCTACGAAATACGTGGATAGCGTCGCTCGGAAAGTGTACTGCTCATGCCAATCGATTACTCTGCTGAAAGCATCATATTCGAGCTGGCCATATCGAAGCCAACGGGCACCGCCGGGCGAGCGATGTTTTGTGTATAGTGCGGTGGGTGTTGGGTTTCTTCTGACGTGGTGGTCCCTGTTTCCGGGTCGGGGGCGACCTCGCACCGCGGTACCCCCAGGATTATATGATGGGAAAAGCGATATGGTTGGTGGGAATGTGTCAGTCCTCGAGGTAGCGATGACGCCGTGATTAGAGGATCGATACGCACACCGGTCCAGAATCCAACCTACTCAGTGTCAGAAGACTCTCGCATATACATCCAGCACCCAACACACTCAAGTCCACGCCAAGACACCGCCACGTGATCCTCGGCGAGTGACGTCTCATGACTCACCGAGTGACGCGCTATGACGCCGACTCTGCTGCAGAAAAGACCGCACACACCAACTCGGGCTGTCTTAATCCTACTCATGGTCTTATCTCGGGCTTGTTATACATAGCTCTCGGCAGTATGTTCTTCCTTCCGGCAGCGAGGAGTCGGCACTGGTCAAGTCCGCACAAACACCCCGCACCGCGCAAGCACGCGACACACCGTTTGCATCCCTTCCCGGCCAACATACCAATAGCGCTATCGCACCATATGCCAGCACCCGGTCGATGCGCGTCACAGGGTGCCCGTGGAGCGGCGAGTGACGGGTTGTGAGCGAGTGAGACCCTGAGACCTGCTTTGTTGCGGGGTTGGAGTGCTGGAGGGCGGGTGCGTTGGGTGGACGAGGACGGTGGGATTGGTAGCTGGGGCTCTGGTCAGAGTGTATTGGCTGGCCGAGATGGGTTTTTTATTGTGAGTGTGCGGGGCGCGGTGCGTGGAGAGTTGGGGGTGCGGGGTGCGGGATGCGGGGTTACCCGGATTCGACTAGTGCATCAGTCGCCGTGTGACCGCCCCTCTCACCCACCCTACCCACCCAATACTACCGCAGCCCTCACATTCCCAGTGCTCCACAACCACAGCGGACACAAAGCAAAAGCGTCCCGCACCACCACATGCGACCATGCAACCATGCAACCCGAGCTCCAGATACCCACACCCTACGCCGCCATACGCCAGAATACACAGTGGTACAAAGACCCGATAGTCAGCGCACAACCCGAGGAGCTGGACAGCCTCCATGCACGCTGCACCGCCGAACGGGGTACTAGCAGTAGCATAGTCCGCCCGGTGCGGCGGGGAGCGGCGGGGATCGACAGTCTACCACCGTGCCTTTCAGTAAACATATCTGCGATCGACAGACAGCCGCTATCGGTCGGTAGCTCTACACTTACCTCCTTATGCGGCTCCCCTAGCTGATAAACCGGTAGCCGTTCAAACGGAAGATAGATCCCCGGCGCAGTTTTACGGCGTCGGGAGAAGACACCGCGGCCGACAGGCCGGACACGCTGATAGACGGCGCCCATCCGGTGGAAACCCCTCAGGTACCGGATACTTTATTCTTAGCGATCCCACCGCACCACTACGCCCGCGCGGCTGCGCTACCTAAAAAACGCCGGCGCAGACGAGGAGCGCCGAGTGATAGCCTGTGACCGGATATTGCAGTCCACCGTGACAAGGGGCTGCTGCGGGGACTTTGTATGACGGAGGAAAGGGTGTGTATACGAAGCTTCCGCGCGGTATACCTTAGAGAGCTTATACTCCGGGTAGGCGTATGGGACTTGGAGGCTGCCGGTGTCTCGATAGCTTTTGGTTTGCGGGTTGCTATGGAAAGTTGCGGGGGTGGTGGTGTGTGTGCGGGTGATAGACTATGATTGAATATCGCAGCCCTACCGTCAGAGACAGATACTGTGAGGTATGGAGTAAGGGTTATGTAACAAAGTCGAAACGCATACATATAGTGGCCCCTCGCACCTCCCCGCAACTCCGCCAGTAGAAACAACACCCCCGCTGATCAACCGCCGTCCTGGGGTGAGAAAAATATTACAATCCATTAGATCTCTCTCTGTCGCTATCAGTAAAAGACCCTGCCGCCCGAATATAACTGTTCTTGGACTCTTCCATCAATCTCCCTCTCTTTTGACCTTTTCGACCGTTTTCTTCCGCTACATCATTGTCTTCTTTTTTATTATTTCTCCCAGATACCGCATTATTGTTCCGGGCGATCCGCAGATATTGCGAATTCGTGAATGGACAAGAGAAATTCGCGAATAGACTTGAAGTATTCGTGAATAGACTGCTAGCCACATACATCTCCCAGCAGACCAGTCTATTCACGAATGGCCCGCTAATAATGTAGTTCTAATATCTTGATGGCCCACAATAAATTGAGGTTTAATGCTTTGATCTAGTTGTTGTATAATGCACGATCACCCCTACAATGCTTGGCGACCGATTAAAAATCATAGTGCGGAAAAATTTTTCCCTCTAAATAAAATCTGTATCTACAAGAGATTTTTACCGATTCTTCAGCACCATTGAGTATGCCTTTACCACCTCCCTTTACCGAGTCAGTCAGGGCCGAGTTTATGAGATTTCTTCAGAACCCCAACCATGTAAACCGTTTTCGTATTTCTCCTACTAAGCACAAATTACTCACAATTTTCGCATCGGATCCTGAACACAGACCTGCAGCTGGGAATGCGGCGGAGTCAAAAGCAAAGTTTGAAGCTCTCAGGTACTTTAAAATGATTGGTGGACGGCTGCATAAAATAAGTAGCAAGGACAAAGTTTTTAAACAACCGCTCTATGTGGTACCGGAATTGGAAGCCTTTGAAGTTATAGTAAAAGTATTCCATACCGATTCTCCTATTTCCTGTTGAACTACTGATAATTTTATAGGTACATTGTGATCTATTGCATCCCGGAAAAAATAAATCTTTCAATGCAATTGATGAAAGATTCTATGGAATCACACGGTCGGAGGTTGAGTGGGTGGTACGGAATTGCTTGACTTGTATTTCTAACAAGCCGAAAACTACAACTGGGCCCCTGCAACCTATTAAGGTCGGCAATCTCTTTGAACGAGTACAGGTGGATCTAATGGATATGAGTATGGAACCAGATGGTCGATATAAATGGATAATGCATGTCTGTGATCACTTTAGTAAGTTTTCATCTGCATATGCATTGACTGCCAAAGAGAGCGAGCAGGTTGCAAATGCAATGGCCAATTGGTTGAGTCATTTTGGGCCTCCGAAAATCTTGCAATGCGACAATGGGGGAGAGTTTAAGGGTGCACTCTTAATTTTACTCGAACGTTATGGAATTCAGGTTATAAATGGTAGACCACGTCATCCACAGTCTCAAGGCTTAATTGAAAAAGCAAATGGAACCTTTAAGCGAAAGTTACGGGCATGGATTAACGACAATCCCAATCGAGCAACTCAATGGTCTCTAGCTTTGCCGGAGATTTGTATTGCGATTAATAGTCAACGCCATGAAACAACAAAACTTACACCATATGAAATTGTTTTCAAACAACCGATGAACCCACACAAGCTCTCTTTGAGTGAACGAGTATTGGCAACAATTATTGATGAGGTTGAAGAATCAATTCTTGATACTGAACCTACGTCATTAGTTCTTAGAAGCTTATATAGGGATAATGCACCTTTAGGTACAGTCTAATCCTGTCCCGATACTACTCTATATTCCCTAACGTATTACAGATACTGACAGCTATCTAAATCTTGAATCAAATTCAAGATCAATTACTCCAGTTCAGATACATACTCTAGAGCCAGAAAGTGACTACTTGAGTGCCCGTGGAAGCATTATCCCTTCAGGTTCTGGACTATTTGAAACCGGTTCAACGGAAACTGGATCAGTATCTATTCCTCTCAATTCTCAAATCAATTCGGCGGAAGATATTATCAATTCATACAGCGAGGATATTCTGGAAACAGTGAGACGCAATACAGCCAAAGCACAGCTATCAATGGCTAAAAAATACAACATTCGGAAAAAAGTTGACATTTTTAATGTTGGAGATATAGTAGCATTGGCAGTTCCTCCATTATCCCGTCGGTCAATAGATAACAAAAGAATCTTTTGTCGAATAATCAATAAACCGCATCCAGACAGGCACCAACTGCAATGTTTACATGGTATTCTAGAGCGTCATTACCCAACCACAGAACTAGAAAGAATCCCGAAAGCTCTTACTGCAGGAATTGAAATCCCAGACAATAGAAATAGCATATCGTTACAGGTAGCATCACAAATGATCTCAGCTGGTTTACGTAATGACGGAAATGTATAAAATATATTCAAATTCCATTTATAAAACTATTCATATACTGATTTTTTCAATGGATTATAGGTACCATGTAACTGTCGGAAAAACTGCAATCTTCGATACTGCCGATGTTTTAAGGAAAACCGAACTTGCACCTCCCGCTGTCACCCCCGGTTAGAAGAATGTACTAATACAACAAATATTCCCAACGTAATTGGTATTTAGTCACTTTCTGATAATTCATATTAGGTATTAATTTTCGTATAGAAGAAATTCCAATTGATCCGCTACTATTATCGGATGATTCAGATGAAGCCACCGAGAATGAAAATCAAAGTAGTTCTCCAGAACCCTCTAGCAATGACAGTCAATATTCATCTGCTAGCAATAATAATGAACAGAGAATTATGGAGGAGAAATTGGACCGGATACAATGGAAATACGGTGAGAAGATTCATGGTGCAGTGATATATGCGATGGAGAAAAAATACCCGCTCCTCTCAGATATTATTGAAAGGACAAAAGAACTTGTTATAGAGGAACGCCTACGTCAACATGAAAATATTATCAAACGCACTATCAAGAATTACCGACAGTTGGATTTCTATCAAGAGTTTATTAACTGAAGAAGAAGGAGAAAAAATGGGCCTTCCGTATCGGCTAAGCGGACATTTGAGCAGAATAAGTCTATTCCTTGTGGATATTATAAATCAGGTAGAATGATTCCAATTTTCCTAAAATTATTAAACTAATCAAACTGGTCAAACAGTTCTTGTGGAAATCACACCGGTCGCATTTTGGGTAGGACATTCTGGACAATTCCGGAGGCAAATGGAAATTGAAGGAGATCAAAACGAGGATCCAGAGATATTGTTCAGATCTGTGATTGCTCCAGAGATTTTAACACACTTTATTTGCTCTGATATGCAGATACAGTATGATGAGGCGTTGGAGGTATTACGTGACCCAATTGCACAGGAGTATGGTTCTTTTATTGATGTGGATATGTTGTTAACGGATCTCGAGGGTCTTGTATATAAATCACCTCCACCACAACAACAAAGTACAAAGAGGGGACGTCAGTTGAGGAAAAATTAAGTATTTTATTATTTGTACCTAAAATGATTGAATTCTACATAAAATTTTCTATTCTTAATTTTTCTCTTCCCATTTTCTCATCATCTCGTCCACCAATTCCTTCAATTTCTCCTCACTAAAATCTCCGGAACGCCTAAGCTGTAGCTCAGCCTTAACCTTGATAGCACCGAGAGCAGAAGATCTCTTTGCTTTTTCTGGATTTTTAGCCCTCCATTTAGCTGAATTTGCGCGCTCTCTTTCCTTCTTGCTCATTCCTAAAAAAAATTAATTATTAATTCAATTCCCGGAAAAGAGAAAACCTAGTACCTGATGCTGGTTTGGCTTTTTCCTTATAGTAATAATGAGCTTTAGTGTGTCCGCCCTCCTTAATTTTTCCCTCCTCATATCTTCTAGAATAGTACCGGAGGTGTTGCCAAACAGCTTTCTCTGGGTTTTTCCGGTATCTGAAATCTCTTGCACATGCAGGAACAGGGCAAAAAGTAGAAAGTTGATCAGGTATAGCAGGCAGAGTTGGTGCAGTTTTACTTGATTGAGCCTTCGTTGGCTTCTTTCTAATTCTCCCTGTAGCTGTTCGCCCATAGGGGGCAGCAGGATCTGAAGTGTTGTCTGGCATGTTGATTTTGAAAGATTGATTATCACGGTACAGTGGCACTCAAGAAGGGATTAAGTACTAGGGCCGCGCGTGCGACATCAACCAACTCTCACCCAAAATCATTGCTGGTTGAGGTCGCGCGTGCGCGACTGCAACCAACCCTCACCCAAAATCATTGCTGGTTGAGGTCGCGCGCCCTAGCAACCCTCGCCCTAGCAACCAACCCTCGCCCAAAATCATTGCTGGTTGAGGTCGCGCGCCCTAGTAGCAGCCTTGGTTGCTGAGCGCGCTCATGAATCATGATCAACAATTTTTTACAAACTACATTTTACCAGTCCATTCGTGAATGGACCGGTCCCCTCTCGAATACATGTGTTAAGCGGTCCATTCACGAATTCGGGGTATCTGCCAATCGCCCGGAACATTATCGCCATACTTATGTTGGCATTTCTTACTCTCATCGGTCTCACCGTTCTCTCTAGCGACCTTTAGTCTTATTTTATCCCACGATATACTCTTGCACCTCTCTCTCTTCCCGACTGTTTAATCTTGCTGAGGTCGTATTATCCACTGCTACAATCCACCGGCCTAGGGTCAATTAAAGCCCCAATACTTGGTTCTCGTGACTACCCTTTCCTGCTTGGTACAAAATCAAAGTGCTCATGACAAAGCTTTACCGCCGTCGTCTCCGCTATTGGTTATGCCCTCTTAAATAGCTGGGCAGCAGCGGGTATGCCCTTCTGGTGTCATGACCGCCTGGGGATGCAGGTATAGGTGGATTGTTCCAACTATTGAGAGCAGTATCGCAAGCAGGAATCGACAGGAGAGAGGTTTCCTTACTCCATCCTAGACGTGAAACCACACAAATCCATACGAATTGGCATAAAAGAGCCAAAATTCCAGTTTAATTTGCTAACACTAATAAGGTGATCGCCACGGACTCCATAGTTCCCGTTTAATTTGCATGCTCACCGAAAGAAAAACCCAAGTATCCGTACCAATATTATAAGCAGGAGCATTGGTAAAAATAACGGTCTTTATTATCGATTCATCTATCTAATTTTTCAGAATCTTAGTTTTTGTGTGGAATTATAAGACTTCATATAGACCCGTAATATTAGAAAACCTGCAATTCGCTATTATGTACATCCGATGTGGCCCAGTACTATGGCCAGGGTTTTTGCTTCCAATAACGAAGTACTTGATAAGCGTTAAGCAGTATTTTCGTTTCACACATGCCCTACAACACTAGTAACAATCCTGAGCGGTCTCAATCACCACACCATATATCTTTTTTTATTGACGACTCCCCTTAATTAAACCGTCAAACTAAATCTAAACCAGCGGCACCCACCCTTTACTGTAATTTGGATGAAGTCCACTCCTACAGTGTGGGATTGTACCCAACCGCATTCATGATGGGCCGTGATGGAATTCCGTTTCCCCGCACTTTAATCCTTATATCAAAGTTACGCCCATAAAGGGTTTGAGTGCCGATTTTGATTTCGCCTGACGCATTGAGGGGTAATGTGCACATACATACAGGTATCCAGGTCTGCAGATCAACGAGGAACGAGTTGACAAGTCTGGGCGCGAGACTGGTACCAGGCATATATATAATAGCTATAGAGAGTGTCAAAATCGATATCTGAATGAGAAATCTATTATCTGATAAGAGAGATAATGAGATCTGTTAGCAAAGTTACACCAAATTTTGCTTTTTGGGTGTGGGAGTTACACTCTGTTGACCAATCCACAGCATCATATTATGCAGATGACTGTGCACCCGGCCAGTTTGAAATGCTTGGGCTACACGCCCAACTATGGCCGCCTTAACTCGTTACATGCCTACTTAAACCCAGCATTCGAACATCTACCTACAGCCCAACAAACCAGAAAAATGTCACTATTCGGCGGCGCAACCCAACATCCTAACAATCAAGGACTTTTTGGCCAGACTACCCCTCCCGCACACAATCACAACAGTGAAAATATATCCACAAGCAGTGACAAAGCGCAGACCTACAAACGGATCAACGTCTACTTCCCTTACCAGAACATACCATTCATCATACCCTACCAACCCAACAATTACGCGCGTTGTATCGGGAACGTACATTCCCCCCGCCCCCCTCTCCCGGCTAGATCTCTGTGCCACACTAACCTGCGATCGACGTACATGAATACAGCAGGTCAAAGATAAAATCGACCTCATTGCGCTTGGGATGAAAAGTGTCCCCAAGGACTGGGTTTTGATTTCTGCACTCTCACCTCCAGAATCTAACGCGAAGATCGAAATGATCCATGGAAGCTGCTTGCCGATATTGGCGGACGCGTTTATTAAGCCGGATGGGGCTTATTTGCTATTGTGGACGTCGGATTCGTGGAATGCGAAGGAGCTGGTGAGGTCGGGATTGGAGCTCATCTCGGGGTGAGATTTGTTTTGATTTAGATGGTGAAGGTGTGTGAAGGTGTCGTGGTGCTGCATGTGAGGAGTCAGTCGTCGTCAGCTATAACGGCCCCTGGTATATCTGTACGTACCTGGATAATCTACTGTGGAACGGCGGGGGGGGGGGGGGGGGTGTCAATGATAGTAGCTGTTATAACCCCAAGGTTTGTGATTCATTAGCAATATAAGAAGTACTGGCATAAATGTAGTGATAGTGATAAGTTTATGGGTTCGTCCCAAAGATTCTAGCAGGCAGGTGGGGTCGAGTGATGGATTCTGATAAAGTGTTAAGACATAGTTTATTGTAAATGACGGAGCCTACATGTGAACTATTCAAAAATTTCCACAATAAAGACAAGTATCATCTCACTACATGTACACGCATTGACCACGCGTGTACCCGCCCTTTTAACTGATCAGGTACCCTCTCTCCCCCAGCCCATTGTTGTCCTTTACTAACTGATTCGAACTTAAGCACTGAAACTCTTATTATTATTTTATTAATGTTGCCGATTTGTTAAGTATTTATTGATCTATAACTTTGATATACTTTCCCTAATCTTGTCCCCACTCCTGATCAATATTCCTCTCATACATATGCTCAACGCGAGTCCTCATATATTACCAATATAAAATTAACACTTAATAATCGAAATCTTGCCATGTTGATATCCCATTATGTGGGTTTGTTCAGTTTCTTGCCTGAGAGAGCAGCGATATAAGCTTTATGGGAAGTCTGCGCATGTATGTACACAGACACCCACAACAAGAGTGAGAAGCCATGAAGCGCAAATCAATGCCAAGAACCCAATAAATTAATCACCGGCTATATATATATGCGCCCTCGTGATCCCCACCACATATTACTGGGCCCAATATATCGGCCCCCTTCCCATGGTACCAGCCTACTCGAAGACTACGGGTACTGGCACGGCACCCGATCCGAGAAAGCCCTACTTAGCTACTCCACTACTGCCTGGATTTTCTTTTAGTTGAAACGAGGTGCTTAAGAGTACTACTAATCGGCAAAAAAAACAACTCTTTGATTGTGATCCTTGACAGGCATTAATAACCCCCCCCCATCCCCTTGTTGGATCCGCTTTCCGAGCCGAGCGTGGTATTATTGAGGTAGGGTATTGGTATGATTGTTTTCGTGCCGGCCGTGGTGCTGGCTCTCCGACAAACCCCTTGTTCTTCAGATCCCCACCGCCTCCTGCCCGCTTTGGGCGTTTTTTTCCCCGGTTAATATATATAGGCACGTCACTCGCCAACCAACCTTCTCCTCCTCTTCCCCATCCCCACAATGATATGGCCGTTCAACGACTCTGAGAGAAGACAAGAGAAATATATTAAATGTTGAAGAGCTTAGTCAGATCAAGCTCCTGATGACCAAGTGCGGAAGACCATCGCGGGTACGGGTGTTCTCCACCCCCCACCCCCCACCCAGAGGCCGGCCCTCTGAGCCCGCGAGAAAAAAGGTCATACTTGCACGTACACAAGTATAAGTAACCAGATACAGCAGCATGGAGAATCTCAGGACTTGTAGTATACTGCCATGACTCCTAGTTAGCACCATCCAGTCAATATATCAGGGCGGTAATATACTTCACTTGTTTATAGCGCAGTTTTACATTGAAGCGGGTGTTTGGGAACGAACATTCTGGGCGCAAGGTTATGTAGGCACATGGTTGGAGTACCAGTCCGGAAGATTATGTTGGGCATATATCAGGCTACGTAGTGCAGGGACTACCGACTAGGGGGGCTAGCTGCTTCACATGTTGACGCATGCATGTTCCCTGCCGCCGGATATTTATTTATTTAGGTTTAATTACTGATGTAGCCGAGCAGGTCGCTTTATTTTGTAGATTACTGATTTTTCCCTTTGACGTGATTGGCGTTGTAGTATGTAGTAACATCATTTCATAGTAGTAACATCATTTCATAGTAGCAGAGTAGCACTTTGAATTAAAAACCTAAAACCCCAGGCAGGATCCGTACAGTCAAAGTAAATTCTTTCTATAGAACTATATTCCACAATAGATCCTTTACTGTTACCCCGCAATCCAATAGTCGAAGTAATAAATTAATTCCCGTCGTACATAAGCCCATGCATGGTGCTGGTTTGGTGATGCCAAGGGCATCTTACAGTAGTTGTGAACTGAGATAGGAAGGTTAATTGTCGTTCTTGACGTCTTCGGAACGTCTGACAGCCGTTCATAGGGACACATTAGAGGTCAATCTGTTGAGCTTTTATATCTACTTGCAGTCTTTAAAGGGAGTATAAACCAAAATTAAGTAGATAATATTACTATCTCGGAATTCGGTGGAAGAAAGCTAGAAAGATGATTCCTTTAGACATTCTACGAGGTTTAGTTTGTTTTTTATCCATGTCTACACTTGGCAGAATATCAAGAAACGGACGAAAGGGAAGTGTATCAACATCATATGATGCTGGGGAGGACAGCTAGTACTCGTTAGAGTGACACAGAGGTGAATTTACCCAGTTCCCCAAGCCACATCTTCAAAGGCCAATAGAATTTGAGTTCATCCCCGCTTACAAACAGCGTCGCCCCACATACTTGCCACGTAGGGAGAGAAAAGTCCGTACGCGTAGATTTGAGAATTATTGAGTGAAGTCTCATACTAATTGCACACATAACTACAACTAGTGTAGAATCATGAGATATCATTCCATGCCTATGTATGTAGCTAGCCTGCAACTAAACTAACCCACAGACATCCGCTACCAACGGCTGTGGCGTGTCAATCCCCTAGCTCGACAAGACCTTCTTCACAACAAATCACGCACCGTCCTCCCAATCCATCCTCGTATTTCCCAGGACCGGCCACAACAGCGAGGTCCACATGAACCTTCTAACCTGCATGCCAACTGCTTAGCAATGCAAGGTTCTCCTCCCAGTACAACAGTAGCACAAGTCCGCCCCGTATATATTAATATAAAACTCTGCGTTCGGACGTTCGCCCTAGCTAGCTGGAAGCATGAAGGTTTACCTGTCAAATAGACAAACAAAAACTCTATCTACCCACGCCCCTCGGTCCGGAAACTCGCCCCGTTTTTTTTCTGCACTCGGCCTTCATAAAAGCGAGATGATGGCTCCCAGCGTTTCGTTTACAATAGAGAACCAGCAAGACGGGGGGTATTGCAACGCGGGGTAGTATAGGACGATGGGCATGAGATGACATGGGAATATGGACCACTGACCACCGACTACTCTAGCTAGCTAGCTGGAGAAAGTAGGAAAAGAATCAGAAGAGGGACGGGGAGTATATTAATGTTTGTTGGCTCTAGTGTCTATAAAACGACGGGATATCGCAGCCAAGGTTTCGCCCTCCAGACAGCAGAATAGCTTCTTTGACAAACAGATCGAACACCTACAATGTTTCGAATCAGAACCTTTTTCCTCTTGTTTTTGACCACGCAGATTCTTGGCGCACTCGGTGCCTTGACGTGGAAGACTTTCGATATCTCGTCCCTTTTGGTGGAGGAAGCTGCAAACGTCAAGTATCAGGATGTCAACGGAAATACTAAGAACCTTGAGGTAATTCTCAAGGAGAACGGCGCAAACAACATGAAAATCCGAATGTGAGTTTCTCTCTCTCTCAACCAGGCTGCTATTTCTATTGGAGATGAGCTTATGGGTTTGTGGTGTATTAGCTGGGTCAACCCATCGGATGGAATTTACAACCTGGACTATGCGGTCAAGGTTGGATTGAGGGCAAAGGCTGCGGGCTTGTCTGTTACTTTGAACTTGCACTACTCCGATACCTGGGCGGATCCAGGACACCAGACCACCCCCAGCGCGTGGTCGAGTTACACTATCACTCAGGTACGAATCATTCATATACCCCCCAATCCAAACATAACTAGGCTGTCAATGATACTAATTAACCTCCCCGCAGCTCGCCGCAGCCGTGAAATCCTATACCACTAACGTTCTCAACACATTCGCATCCGTAAGTCACATCACTTACACCCGCAATAACCTCTAAAACCGCAGCACTAACTCTCTCCAGAACGGAATCGATGTCAACCTCATCTCCATCGGCAACGAGATTCGCGCCGGCCTCCTCTGGCCCCTCGGTTCTTACACCAACTTCGCCAACATCGGCACGCTACTTACCGCCGGTGCCCAAGGTGTCCGCGCCTCCAGCCTCAGTTCCGCCCTCATCATGATCCATCTCGACGAGGGCTACTCATGGGACACACAGAAATGGTTCTACGACTCTCTTGCGGCCTCCGGAACCTTCAGCATGAGCTCTTTTGACGTCCAGGGTGTCTCTTACTACCCATTCTGGTCCACCTCCAGCACCATCGCGAACTTCCAGACGGCAGTCAACAACATGGCTAACACTTACGGAAAGAAGATCATTGTTATGGAGACAGATTGGCCAGTGACGTGCACAACGACGACGAACTTCCCAAGTTCGTTGTTGTCAGCGTATCCGTTCTCGGCGGCGGGGCAGGTCTCATGGGTTAAGGCGATTGCGACGGTGGTCAAGGCGATCCCGAATAGTCTCGGTGTCGGTGTTATGTACTGGGAACCGGGCTGGATTGATAATGCTGTAAGCTTCCCGTAACCTTTGCGTCGTGGTTTTTAGAAATAATGCTAATAGCGAGAAGAGTCTGGGAAGCTCATGTAGTGATAATGTTTTGTTTACTGGTGACTGGAGCGGGTATCCAAGTACAGTTATTGCGAAGGCGAGATCGTAAGTCGCACTCCTCATTCCAACGAGTGATCAAGTATGGACAGAGTTCTAACGTATTGGGGTTATAGGAGTGTCAACATGATGTCACAGATCTAAGAAAAACTCTGGTAAATAGCATATCATGGCGGCAGTCCATGTTAATAGATTATAGCCAGAGTAGTCAAATTGAAAACATATGGTTAGGGTTAATATAGCCACGATTGATTGTTTTTTGCGTGAAATTTAGAGATTGTGATTTGCTCCGGCTCATGAATAACC